AAAAGCCACGGCTTATCTGTGGGTGCTGGAGCAATTTTCTCTCAGCTTCACCTATAGCTCCGCCTGCGGCAGCACACTCTCACCTCCACGAGGTACTTTACTGCATTTTTATCTATCTGTTTCTGCAACACCGTTATTCTTATTCTGCTATTGTGGCATAGCATCGTTGCCGGTTTTCAAAAACTCTTGTCTATCTTGGGAAGGTGACTTTATGGCAGTTTCTGTTGGCGGCCGCACCACGCATGGCCCCGGTCCGCCATCGCAGCCTGCTCTGAGGCTCGTTCTCCTCGCTCACGCCTCAGGCCTGCTTTTTCTGTCCCTGCTGCTGCAGAAATCCTTTAACCTCTGCTGTCACTCCCCCACTGTGCAGCAGCGTTGCCCTCTGATTGGAGCGTGTTTGCATTGCTGCAGCGAGGATGCAGAGCTGTCAGACCTCATTGCTACTTAATGAACAAACACATTTCTGGTGGATTCTTCCGTTGAGTAGGAAAGCCAGCTGCACCAGTTACACTAAATAGATTCAACATCACAAATGAGTTTGCGTCTGTGCCAGTTGGCGAGCAGATCAGCCATTGACGAATACGTGTGCATGCCCCTGTCGTCACGTCGGCCAATGCTTGATTACAACGCTTCTTCTTTATTCTTCCTTAATGTTCAGCTCTCTTTCAGCCTTTTTTCTTTTCTAGCTTAATTTAAGTTTTTATTTTGTTTGTCTTCCCATTTCATCCATTTTTCTTTTTCCAATTATGGGTGGCAGGGTGGCTTGGCCCCTGTCCCAGCTGCCATCAGGCAAGCCCTGGACAGGTCCCCAGTCCATTGCAGGGACCGTGCAGACGCACATGAGACACACATGCTCAGCAAAAGACAGAGAGTATCAAACAGTTCATTATTTGCACTTGGTACTGAGACCACAGTCATTATAGGATTTTTTGGTAAAATTATTCCAAAAAGTTGGCCTATATGCTGCATTTAAGAGTGCCAGTACGTCAGGAACTGAGTCTGTCCTGAGGCCTGTGTAAGTCAAAGTATGTTAATGTAGCTGTATGACATTTGTGTGCGTAAGCCTTCAGCCTTTGTATGCTGAACCACGAGCCATGTGCTGAAACAGCAGTGGGCTGAAGCCACTTCAGGCATTGCAGATGGGTCTTGTAATGTCAGCAGCGCTCATAGGGATGACATGGTAGTATGTGGGTTCGTAGCTTGATCTGCAACCATGTGTCATCTGTTTCTTTAGGGCTGTCAAAGGACACAACGGGGGACAGGATCTGATTCAGCTCTGGAACTGCTGGCATATCAGGCCTAGCAGGCTCATTGTAATGGCATATAAAGGCATTTGGGGCCTTGTTGGAATGAAAAAAGCCGGTAACCTATTGTCCCGGTAGTTTCCCTGCATGCTAAGCCTGATACTAACCAAAGCTGCACCTACACCTGTTGTATAAGCATTTTAACGGTCATGGCTGTTGAGCATGGCTTCCTTTGCCAGTTGGTTTTGCTGAATGGATTTATCCCAGCGCGCTTTGAGGCAAATACTTGAATTGCATGAAAAAGTAAGTACTCTCTCCCCATGTAACTAATGTCACCTCTACTTTTATCTGCCATTCTCATCCAGTTCCATCAGCTCAAGACCCCGTTTTAGGACTCAGCCCACTGTTATTCAAAGTCAATTATGAGTGTATTGTATCTATGCTCATAATCATTCTAATGAGTCGCACAGAGTCAGGAAATTCTATTGAAATGCCTGTGAGGGAGAGGAGGCTTTGAAACATTTTGTGGCAGAGAGCCTCAGGATGTGATTGGAAAGAAGCATGGAGGTAATCCCTGACCCTGAGGATGTGATTGTAAAGAAGTATGGGTGTAATCCTTGGTGCCACCTGAGAGGCCATTAAACCCAGCATGACAGAACAGACTGCATTGTTGTTTAAAGCCTGCCCGGCTAAAGGCTTGGAGATAGAAAGCTAACCGAGCCTTTGTCCTGCTTTGTCCTAAGTGACTGAAATCCTCCCATTTGCCTCAAACTTAACTGTTAAACTTCCCTTAGCATCATGGCTAGATGTAAAAACAAGATTAACAGAAGCTGCATGACTGAGAGGAGGACGCCGTTCAATTTATCAACCAAGAGAGAAGACCAGGTGGGGAAATCACCGTGTGGGGTTCCAGTGTACCTCAACTGGAAGAAAAGTGAAGTGTTGGGGCAGACGTGCAGCAAAGGCGTCCATATGCTATAAGCAGGGGGACACTCTGGAAATCAGAAGTGACAGCCTTATGGCTTCAGCAGATGTCTCTCTCGGCTGTGCTGAATCAAGTTCATAAACCATTTCATCAGTCAGACTGAAGCCCAGCCATTTGTGAAGTATTGGAAAGGTGCAGCAGTTCTTTTCTCTTTTGCTCACAAGTGCTAATGTATGAGAGGAACTGTGCAGTCTAAAGATGCAGTTGCTGTACTCCAAACGGTGACACTTTGCCAAACAGAACAATTGGATTATAAGCTCAGAAGAAATAAGTCGTGGAGGTGGCGGGCCAAGAATAGTGACATTTGCAGGAACAGGCAGTCTTTTAAATCTGTGCTCACTCGGGCAGGAAAGAAAACATAGTGGCACGGCGTTCACCATATGTTTAATAAGCATCTGGCACACACATATGAATGCATAAGAGACACATAACTGTGTGAGCTTCACACGACCAAGATCAATCTGGTTGTTTTGGAGTGTGTGAGTTTCGTTTCTCTTTACAGTATTTACTCCCCTTGTGCTCTTTTGAGTCCAGACTATTCCTCTGTGGTCTGGATTGTTGGTTAGAGTTAGGGTTAGACACTGGGGGAAGTCACTCTTAAGCGTAATTACTGATTGTAATTAGGAAGGTTTAAACTATTTCTCTAATTTTTCTGCGTAAATATTTGTGGCTCGCCAGCTTGTCCCAGTTGTTATTCTCTGTTGAAATCTTCCCTCTCCTTTTATCTGGAAAATCTTCGTGCTAACTGTTTATTTTAGGTGATCATTGAGCTCACTTTGGACAGTAATCCTCCTCACTGGTAATAGAGACTTCAGTCTGCTGCACAGGTTCTCCTGGCATTTAAATGGCTCTATCCTTTTTCGCTATCTTGATTGCAACAGAAATTTCCCAAAGCCGAGAGATGTGCGACCCACATCCAGCCCAGGTGGAGAAAAAAAATGACGGAGGACTGGCTGGCGCAGATTAAGTGTATTATGAGCATTTAAACTGACTTCCGTCTGTGTGAGGAAAAGGAACAACAGGATTGCTGAGTGACGGATTGGAAGGAAGGCTTGAAATTGGCTATTTTCATGGGACTAAATCATTCAGCAGGGTTCGTATGTCACTCATATAATGGATGGCTCATTTCTCCCTCCAAATAAAAAATAGGCTATTGGCACCGTCTTCTAGCCTTCACCAAGTATGTACAGTCCTCAGGCTCATGAACACATTTATGTAGTGCAGCCCTGCTCCATGAAAACTGCCTTGTGCAGTGTCCCCAGCACTTCCCCACTCTCTAAAATGATCATCATGCTGTCCCTACTTGATTTCAGATTAAATATGCTGCCTGCTTGAATAACTCTGAGTGGCACTCAGAATTATTCAAAAATTACGCAAAAAGGAAATTACACTAAATTAATAACGTCATACAGCAGACAAATGAGTGGAATTGAATTCAACATACAGATTTTTTGGGTTAGTTGTTATGGGTATTTATTTGTTTCAGTTGTCTAGCTCGTATATATACAAATATATATTTATATACAGTTATAGTTCTACATATTGTCAGCATAAATCGGTGAATAAACTCGGGTTTATGCGGCTGATATGTCCATGTTTGATTCGTGAGCAATGCAGTGCCGTGGGGGTCTGTCCACTCACAACCGCTAGTTTTTTCTCTTGTTTTATTTGTGTATTTTCGCCCACTGCGTTCTGTTAAAAGGCTTCAAATTTGTGCATTAAATGGCATGTAAATAATGTTGGGCATGTCCGTGCACAGGTATTCCAGTCACATTAAGCGTGCCGTTACTTTAAGGAAAGAGAGTTGCAGCTCTCCTGCAAGCTCGCTCCCACTGCAGTCAAGCTTCACATATTCTCTGCTGAAGTAGAGAAGAGGTGAGCAGTGGAGGGTGTAAAGAAGAAGTCTGGAGGAGGGGAGGGAAGAGCATGTCTACTAAGTGGAGGGAAATTTCTGTGCAGCCCAAGGGAGCACAAGAGAGGTGTGAAAAGTAGGCTGGTCTTAGTAAGGAAGAGTGACTAAATTTCCTGAGACAGGTCACACAAAAGATGTTGAGAGCCAGTTCACGTGCACACGTCTCTCTGTGTGTGTTTGCTGCTGGCTTTGAATGTAATTGACCATGGTAATGGTCATTACATGGAACAGCTAAGGATAGCAGCAAGAGGACCCCTCCTACTGTGCAGTGAGTTATGGTGAGTTTCCTTCTCTGCGAGGAAAATAAATCAGATACTCTGAATCCTGCTTGGTTGGTGCTGTTGTTAAAGAAAAAGGTATTTCTGAAGTATGCAAATGAGGGAGTGTGTGGATGCTATCTTTTTTTCTGCGTATGGAAACCTTGTGTGTGTGCATGTGTGTTCTGAGTGTCATGATGCAGTACTTGGGGCTAGAGAGCTTTGCAAGTAAAGGCCTTGTTCAGGCGAGATAATTAGTCAAATGCTGATTTCACTCCAGCTCCCATAGGAGCAGTGCCACGAAGGCTAAATATCACCCACTGAAGTGGTGCTTATTACTCTGTGTGGGCTGGAAAAATGGTAGCATCATTTAGGCCACTTGTGTTTGTGTGCGTGTCAGTTTTTTAACTTTGTTTGTTTGGGTGTACAGACACGTATGTGGTGCTTTTGCCTTGTGGAGAAATATTTTGATTCGATCACACCTAAAGCTTCTCGCTGTTCCATTATTAACCCAAAAAAACAACAGGGAAGCTCAGTGCTCTTGCCAACCTGCCCCTTCACGTTTACTCCACTTTTGTCGTGTCTATCAATGCAACCTCAGAAAGCTCCGGAAATGCTTTAACACAAACTTCAGCCTCATGCCTCTTTTTGTTCTGCTCATGCAGGAGCTTCAGTTCGAGCGTCTAACCAGGGAGCTGGAAGTGGAGAGGCAGATTGTGGCCAATCAGCTGGAAAGATGCAGACTCGGGGCTGAATCGCCCGGCGCTGGTAGCAGCAGGTAATGAGAAGATACACATACACACAAACAAACAGCCACAATCCAACACATGGCTTTCCCCTCCCTCACAGCAGTGTCCATATTTCATAGTGTATGCAGCCTTATGGTATCAGAGCATCGTGATGAGATGCTCAGTGTGCTTGAAACTTTTCACCTCCTGTCCTTTCTGAAAATGAGCAGAAATAACCCACCAAGGATGCATCCATTTACATTCATTTACATTTCAGATGCGTACCGGTAAACTGGGAAACATATGTACATTTTGGCTCTTCGAGGCATACATTTGTGCATCTGTGGTTGGGAATGTGTGGGACATTGAAAGCACAGCGTTCGGTAAATATTCTCTTGCACGCTTGAATGCATCAGACAGTGGGCAGACCTCAATGGTCGTGCATTCCTACAGACGCAAACTGAGAAAAAATGTTTCCATTCAAACCTATATGTCTTCATATGTCTAATCGGTGGACGCCTCAGTTTTGGTGCTCACTTTTAATGACGAAAGTAGCATATTTGCTTTTCCCGGTCATTGCCGTTTATTCACTTATTCAGCTCCAACACCCACTGAACAAGCAGTGCCTCATTATAATGAGATTTGAGAGTGGAGGAGACTTCCTCTTTGTTTGCTCAGTGAAATCATCATCAGTAATATTTTTCCTTGTCCACATACAATTCTGCATTCAGATGTTTTTTCCCTGTTTGTGTTTTGATCTCATTTAAGGTATTTAAAGTGTAGCCAAGGTTACAAAGTTATATTCTGATGTATTGAATAAATCAAATAGACTGTATCCATGCATTGTTTTAGACGAGGTCACTGCGTCAGGTAATCAAATGAAATAACTCATCAAGTATATTGAGTACCAGGGTTGCAAGCCCACCCAGGGTCCTGTAAAAAACATGCAACTCCATTTAAATGCTTTTTCCAAAGCCAGAGGGGAACAAAGGGAAATGCTTGTCACAGGACTTTTGTGTTTGAATGGAGGTCGGCTTTTGACACAGAAGTCCCACTGACTGGTTCAATAGCACTGCAGGACAGTGGTGGAGGTGACGACACCCCTAAGGGTTCTGATGAGAGTCGTTACATTTCCTGACACCTCTGGTGCTGACCACTCCCTTTGTTTCTACAAGGATAAAGGCCGTGATCAACAAACCTGACCACAGGCAAAGCTCATAATAGCTTCGACCTCCCACCCAGCTCGCCGTTCAGAAGCCGAAGTGTTTTATGGGATATAAAGTGTGCTGCCTGCCATGTTTAAGCCTGTTGTGTATCAGCAATGACATTTTTACTGTCACTGACGGCGCCTCCGTCCACCCTACTGGTCAATATGCAGCACGTAGGCTCACCATCATCATGGCGGTCTCCGTTCTTTTACTCCATCTGCCATGGTTCAGCGGAGCACAACTTTCCCAACTTCCTCATCTTAATTGCCTCTAATCTCATTGAAATTCTGAGTGGTGAAAGTCTTAAAGCTCATCTAGAGGTAAAAAGAAAATGCTAAAGTGATGATGCTTCACAGAGATGAAGAGCAAAGGGCAGACATAAAAAACCAGAGGGTACAGAGGCTGGTCTGAGATCTCCTGCTTAAACTTGGTCAGTCGGTTAAAAAAAAATTGTTCAGAGAAGGTGGAAGGATTGAAAAGCTTTAAAAGCTTTTCACTGTGTTCGGAAAGTCTTTTGATGAGTATTTGAAATGATTTGGTGGCTGCTTAGATGCGTATACTTATTATATTGGCCTTGTCTGCTGTTTTGATTTTTCTTTTTTGCCCTGAACTGTAATCAAGTCTGAAGCCTTTTCACAAAAGAAAAACACAAGAAGTACTTTTTCTGTTGTACTTAAGTGTTTGAAATGTTCATGATGTTTTTTCTTCTTTTTTTTTCTTCCTAATTCTTTATATTGAAATGATGGCTTTGCTTTTAGAAGAAGTTGTAGTTTTCTAACTCCGGGTTAGGATTTAGGATGATTAGAATTGGAAATTAACATCGATGAACCTCCAGCGAAGCCTTGTTCAAGCCGAGACTAACAAGCAGTGTTGCATTAAGCTGAATACATCAGCACTCTATTCATAGTAATGCTGTGACAAAGGGCTCAGATTCAATAGGGAAAGTCATTTCCTGCTTCCACGTTGTCTCCTAAGCACAAGAGCTCCCTCTCACCACAATCTGCAAAAGATTAATTGGTTTAAAAAAAAAGGAAAACAAATCTTCTTAATATTTACTTTGTTTTGTGTGAGTACAGTACCACAGACGCTGGCTAAATGTACTTTGTGCACAAATTGATGTTTTAGTTGGTAACACATAGATGCAGAGGGGTTTTTTTTAGAAACTTTTAAGGCTTTTTGTCTTTGAGTCTTAGCTTTTTAGGGGCTTGTGCAGCCCTCCTAAAAGATCATACTGAAACATGATCCAAGTCTGGGATAGTTCATTATAGTCTATAGTCTATAGATCCGTCCTGTCTTTGCTAATCAGTATTCTGTCTGTTGTCTTTGAATAATAAAGTCAAGCGGTAAGCGTTCTCTGCCTTTTTCCCTTGGGACTGGCTAACTGTGAGGTTCCCTCTGCTCGGAAATAAATACTGGCACTCACATCATGGTTATGTCAGGATGCTAGTAAGACGTCACAAACCTGAGGATTTGCCTCATGAACACCAGATTGGAACATTTCTGAGCTCGGACTCTTTTCCCATCATGTTATGTTCCATCTGTGGCAATTTATTGAAGCTGAATATGACAATCAGCTTCAGAAAACCTGGATTTAATCTTTTTTTTTTTTGTCAGTGTACAAGAAGGCAGACCTTACAGATCACAGATTACGTTTGCTAAGTGTAACGTTTTTTTCCTCAGACACTGTAAACACCACCTCTGACTTTGTTTTTCACGGCCTAATGAAAGACTAGATGTGACAGTCTTGTGGCTCCTACTGTTTTCTTATTTGTTCAACTTTTTTTTTCTCTCTGTTTTTTTTCCCGATGCAGCTCATCAGAGAAGTCCCTACCATGGAGAACTGCAGGTACGTCAGCTCACAACACAAAATGCCTCACAGCAGACTCTTTGTTTTTCCAATTGTATCACACCTGTCCTTACGTTAGTTTACGAATGTACGTTGCAGTATTAACGTTAGAGAGTAAGTTCAAAAAGGCAGTCTGTCAGACACTAATACACATCTGAGAATGAAGTAGATGGCCGATTGAAGACTCAAACTGCAAACTGAAGCAAATTCAAGTGCTCAGCCAAGCGCTTCAGTTCACACGTGTTGTGTTTGTGCATGTGTGTTTAGGAGCGCAGTGCTTCTGTGTTTTTCATTTTCTAATAATCTTCACTAATGCTTGTCTTTTCGACCAAGGAATTGACAGCTCCAGGCTTGTTCTTGTTTTAATAGTTACTTAAGCTCTTGTTCAGTCAAATAAAATGGCATCACTGACACGTAGCACAAGGTTTTTTTAGCACTCATTCTTATCAGATATTTCAGAGAAAACGGATAACAAATTACATTTATGAATGTCTTTCATGGCTTATTACTTGCGTAGCCGAAAGTGTCGTTTTTGCAATTTTTGTCATTAATCTCTTATTGTCGATTCCGTCAGTAGAGCCATGGGGGAGTTACAGTTGAACACATGCACAGGGAATATTAATATTCCAGGCTTTTCTCATTTGCTCCCCAGTTCCTTTTTTGAATGCATTTCATTAGTTTCATTAGAATCATTGTTTTGTTTTGCTTAGTATGGATTTCTCGTCACACTACTAGAAGATGAATGACAGTAAGAAGTGATAGAGGAGTTTTTCCTCTGCTGAACAGTTACAGTCTAAATGTTTGGCAGGGTGTTTCTCTGTGATGCTTAGAGACCTCGTGAGCCATCTTACATCCCGGCTAGGATGGAGGTGCTACTGCAGAAACAATCTTTTCGCCCCTGGAAATGTCATTGCAGTCACACCTAGTATTCGCTGAGAGTAGAAGAGAAACACCACAGAGTCCGGCTTGCTCTCTGTCACTGTCCCTGCTATTATCATCACGCTGGCATTTCAGTATGCTTGGGAAGCCTGTGGTGTTTTAATTTAGATTCCGCGTAAACAAATCACTACTAGTTTCCTTATCCCCTGACAAGGGAGACCATGTACAACACTAATGTCAGATATCAGTAGTTTTTTGCTTGCTACTACAGCTTTTTGGAGTCCACCTAACAAACGCTAAACAAATATGTTCAACCTTGTTCCTGCCCAAACTTACCCAGAGAGGCATTTTTATTAGAACCAAACCTGGACTATAGCTCGGCCTGTTTCTGTCATGTAATGACAGCATGAAATCAGCTTGTCTATAGCTATTTTATGAAACTGAAAATACATTTCTCCATAAACGTCTCAGAATTTACAACAACAAAAAAAGATTTGCAATAAACTTCAACATCTTGAAATGCAGTCTTGTGTAAAGAAATATAAGTCATGCAAAGGAGATGTATGAGTTCTGTTGGATATATATAAACCACGATGGAGTTTTTCAGCAGTGTATTTGATCCATTTGAAAATGCGTTAAGCAGCCACCATGGACGTAGACCCCCGGTGGTCCAGTGGTGGTGTGGCAGAACAAGGCCACACAGCAGATGCAAATGTGAAATGATAACAAAAATCACTGAGACACATGTTTGAGAAGTGACTGCTCTGTTCTTTGAGGCAAATATTGTCTTTGCCTATTTAGCATGTTGAAGGGAGAGGGCAAAAGGAAGCAGACTGAAACTTAATATGTTCTTTCTACTCCCGCCCATGTTTTCAGTTAGCCACACCAGCAAAAGTGAAAAGAAAGAGGGCTTGGTATTGACTGAACGATCGGAAGCTGCTGTATCCGGGTCATTTGGGGGTTGGCTTCCTGCCAGCTCGCCAAGCCAAATGTGTATTCTAACAGTCTGACCCCCCAAAGACCCTCTTTAATAAGGTTCAAGTCAATCCCATCTGTAAAAAGGCAATCACCCTAAGATAGCCAGAGGTTGTAGTCCAAGCTGTCAAACACACCATGTCTGTGTGTCAACAGCTTTACGCACATATAGAGCTTTGGCAGCGTCTTTGTTCCATTCAGCCCTCATTCCCTCACAGTTTAACGGGCAGGATTTCACAGAAGCAGGCTGCCAATGTTTGCCTCCTCTGCCTTTTGTTTTAGTGATTGCAGAGGAGCCCATTGACTGTGGTCACGCTTAACTAGATTGTGACCATGGTGGAAACATCGGGCACAGGGACATTAGACAGCTAATTCCAGTTTTTGCCTGCCACACCAGTTGAATATTAAAGCGGTGGGACTTTGGTGGTAGGCTGCCTGTTCAATTTGGGGTGAAATGCTCTCTTATTCTGAAGCCCCAAAATCAGTATAACTAACTGAACAAAGCTGTGGTGCTAATGCCGTCATTGTGCTGTTTCTCATAATTTCTAAAACATGTTTTTTTTGCATTAAATCTTTCAAGGCTAAACGGATTATTTCTGCCCGAAACCCGTCATCTCTTTTATTTTCATGTCTGCTTTGTCTTCTCAGATGCCTGTGGGGACACCAAGTCTCGGATGACTGACAGCTCCCAGTCGCCAAGCTACCGAATCAGGACTGAGTCAGAGCAGGTGTCTCTGTACTCCCCAGAGCAGTCTTCCCTTCATGAAAGTGAGGGTCTGTTATTGACTTCTGTCTCTCTTCTGTAATCCTCTTTTATCAGCTCACATATTTTTTATTTGGCATCAGCTTTGACAAAGCTAACTAACCACCAGGATTATTGTAAATTCCCACTATTAACCTGTCATGGTTTTCCCTTTCAATATCCTGGAGAGCGTTTTTTTCTCACCCTGTTTAACTTTTTATATTAAGTAAACAAATATATTACGTAGTCGCAATTTAGTCCAGAGCGACAGCTAACATCTGCGTTATCACATGCCACTAGTCCAGAGCTTCTCTAGCGCTTTTTAGGGACCCCGGTTTGCATGTAAAAAAGAGTTCCAGTGTACCTTTGGCATCACCTTCAATCCTCTGACGCCTAATCAGACAGCACAGATTCTCTTGCTGGAAGAAAGTCTCTTCAGAGAAAGTCTGGAACAAACTGTCCACACATTGTTCTGAAAATATCTGCCATTCACGCGTGAAAATGCCTTCGAACACTGTCAAAGGGGCCTAGGGTAACAACTGATCCATCGTTGAAGGTTAAGGAAACTGGATGATGGTACGCTGAATCACAGGGTGGTAGGGCTGCCATCACCCCGCTGTGTCGTTTGTCATTAGAAAGGCTCTCTAGGTAAAGGTCATGGCTGTTATGTAACCTCTCGGGTGATGTCTGTCTCCCCTGCTTCTAACTTCTTCCATTCTTACATTCCTTTTTTGTCCGTCTGTTGCTGTCACTCTCTCTCAGGGTCTGGAGGAAACTCGTGCGGGTCAGCCCAAATGAACTCCTACTCTGATAGTGGCTACCAGGAAGCCAGCAGTGGCTACCTCTGCAACCAGAACCAGAGCAAGGCTGAGCTGAGGATGCAGCACTCCTTCCCTGGTGCTGGCACTGGCACCCTGATGAGGAATGCCAGGGCTGAGGGCCAGGCTTCAGCCCAGGTACTGACAGCTAGTGCACGTGTTTCTTTTGAATCATCCTCTCACACATCTTTTTATAAAGCCCCAACTTTGTTAAGCTGTTATATTTTATGGTACTTGTTAAAGGCTTAAACTCACAGAAGCCACACAGGAAACGGAGCCATGCAACACGATCAAGCTGCATACAGCTTAGTACACAGACACTGCTGAGAAACCAAATGTTACAGTCACACTATGGAGGGGGGTGGGGAGAAAAAGCCACTGTGGCCAAGAGTAAAGTCGGGCCCTGAGATGAATGCTGTATGTCATGATGTGTCATTTAGTCGTCATTGTTATTGAAAATGTCAAAGTTCACTCCATGTTAGAATTTGTTACGACTCCTGTAAAACAAAACGGATGCTAAAGAAGGAAATGCTGTTTTCTTTCTCCTGACACTCAGGTTCAAGCAGTCACCGCAGCAGTGCCTGGCCGTGCTATGCGGAGGGTTAGCTCAGTGCCTTCTCGCTCTCACTCGCCAGCCTATGCCAGCAGTATGTCCCCATCCCGCGGCTCCTTTCGTACCTCAGTTGGCAGTGCCTACGGCTCCCCCATCGTTACTGAACCCAAACCTCTGTCCAGCATCTACTCTACGACCCTGCCCTCCACTCAGCGCACCAGTAGCACCGGCGCCAGTGGCTCTCCCTACTCCACCCAGAAAAGCTCCCCGGCAGGACTGCGCCGCGTGGGCTCCTCAAACTCGCGATCGGGCAGCGCCAGCCGCACCACCTCGCCCTATCAGACCTCTGCGGCGTCGCCGTCGGGCCGCATGGGCTCGCCCCTGACAATGGTGGACAGCGTCAATGCTCCTCTGACTAAGCAGCCCTCCCACTCGTCGTCCCCCCTCAGGGCCAGCATGAAAGCTGTGCCGCAGCACTACAGCTCCACTCTGCCTCGCTCTGTGCTCCACAACACTGACCCCTATGGACCTCAGAGTTATGACATTTATGAGAGGATGACGCGACCCGACAGCCTCACAGGTGCTCCACTGAACACACACACACACACACACACACACACACACACACTGTTATTGCATCAGTGCTTCTCTGCCAAATCACTGAGGATCATTGGGTTGCATGTTTGACAGACACTCGCTTGCAACCATGAACTCTAAAGATGTGTAGCATCAGCATATAGCTTTTTCTTTTGGAAGATGTACAGTACTTTCACTCTTACACAAACAGACAGAGAAACAAAAATGGGCTTCGGTAGCTCATGTCTTTCCCGTATCTGGCGTAAACCCCGAGCAGCCAGAAGACGCCCGTTTGCGCTCATTCGTTTTTCTGGTTTGTAGAGAATGAATAGCAGGTATTCTTTGTGCAATAATGCAGTTCGTTGTATTTTTAATGCAACCGTCTTTGCTTTGGGACAAAGGATGACTTGTGCTGCAGCTCCATTTGTTAAGTGTCACAGTAGTCCAATAGTCCAGATTTGATAGGAGATAAAAATACACCACAGGCCTTGTGGAAGGTCAGGTGATTAGAAGCAAAAACCTTTGTGTGGAATTAAAAAAACAAAACACATAATACAAATGATTTCCCATTTGCTAACAGTTGAGGGTTTGAGCTCAATGCTTCGAATAGTGATAAAGTTTTACCATTGGGTTTCATGAAAAAATCCCTTTTCTCTTTTGCTCGTCTAAGGGCAGATCACATTTGTACTCTACAGATCTCTGTACTAATCTAAAATTGTTGATTGGCTTTTTTCTTGTCGACTTTACGCTGCCTGGGATTTCCTCAGATGCCCTCATTGATGGTGACATTCAAGGTGAATTCCTTTGGTTATTTAGTGTTTTCCCCCATCATCCCCTATAGTTTGTGTTCATATGTGGGTGCGGCATGCATTGATGTCTTTTATCAGTTACTAGTCTATCAACCATTTTCACTATCCCCTTTGTGTTTAAATGATTGTGATGTTGACTTCAGGATGATGTGTGTTATCTTTGTATCAGTGTTAATCCACAATTTGACTGGACAAAATGCATAAGAGGGCGAAAAGATTCATTCACGTGAAGTCCACCTAACGTATTGTCTGTGGTTTTTATTTAAAACAGTGACTTAATTTGGAAGGCAGGTGGTTTAATATGGTTAACAGCGCGTTTAGTTACTTTAGAATCACGTCTCACCTCAATGTATGAATGAAAAATGGAAATTCACTTTAAGAAGCATTTGGATTAATGTCATACATTAGCCATCAGTTTTGGTCATAACTTTGGGGCAGTTCTGTGGGGGGTTTCATATTCTGTGTGTGTGTGTGTGTGTGTGCTCCGGGTGCCTCACCTAGTGAATTCACAGTGAATTAACTCAGGAGTGACAGAGCCACAGAGCCTTCGTCCTTTGTTTTCTGGCCAGAATACGATGCCAGCCTAGTTCTGTCTTTCTCCAGCTCTTTTTTCCTTCTGTCTTCTTCCTCCTGTCCTTCATGTTGTTCTTCTCTCCCTGTTGTTCAGTTTGTCTAACTCAGCCCCCGCCCATTCCCCTAACCTTACAAACAGGCCATTTTCACTTTGCCTTTATCACAGTCATTTGCCAGTCGTGTCTGATGAGCCATATTAGTGAGAAGTTGAATGATCACATGATGGTGCTGTGGCAGGCTTTGGAAAGCCCCGTGATGCAGCCTAAAGGAACGGCTCCACAGAAAGCTTGTGTTTGTGTTGTCACCACCATTTGTTGCCCCTTCACACATTTTGGGATTCTCTGTTTTGTTTTTGCTGCATATTTCTGTCTGTTTTGTCTTGTCTCCACTCGTCTGTCATTTCTTTTCCATCACTCTTTTCCTCGCTCACCTACTTTCTCACCATGTAGGCAGGATGTCCAAGCATACCTTTGCTACAAAAAAAAAAGAACGAAAATGAAGACAAATCTTCTCTAATGATATACTCTTCAGAGCAGAGAAGGACAAAGATAAAGGGGAAATAGCAGGTCTGCCAGTGTGCTTTGTCGTCCCGATAGCCAAGCTTTGTTTACCAGCTAGCATTCTCTCTTTAATGCATAGTTAGAATCCTAATCCTCTCACTTTTGTGTTTTGTATATTTCTCTCAGAGGTTTTTTTTCAGATTTAATATTATTTTTATTGAGCAATGCTTCCAGCTGCAGCTGTTTCTCCAGAGCAAGCACGCGCCAAGCCACCACCGCCCTTCATCCAGCCTCTGCCAAGTGTAATCTGTTAAAGCCACGGTGAGAGGACTGAGGGGGAGAATTAAATGACTCTAACACAGAAGGAATGTGGGCCATTCATCCTCAACAGACAGCAGTATGTTATTTCTCCCTGACAATTTGCAGATGCTTTAAGGAGTGACTGCAGCCCTTATGTCAGGAGAACAAAGAAAAGAAGGCCCGACTACTCTTCCCATAGGTTGGCAGAATTTCACTAGTTTAGCGCTCATGTTGGTAAAAGGAGCAGATCAAAATGAAGTCTGCTGTGGAGATTCTCTTTCTCTCTCAGTCGTTCACACGTGTGCCAAAAACCCCACTTATGTAGCCAGGCTTCACATCACATGAGAAGTCTCTGGTGGTCCTAGACAGCCTCATTAACCCTCTTTTCATTTCCATCCTCCACACCTCTTCACCCCCATTCCTCTCTTACATTTTCTCCCGATACCTTATGTCTTTCGTCTACCTCTTCTCTCTCCAGATTTTCCCATCTGTCAGAGTAGATTCTCAGTCCAAATCATCACTCATTTCAATCCTTTGAACAAGACAGACTGAACCGATTTCATGCCAAGTCACAGCTACTTGCTTTTGTGGGCTACACCAAACAAAGAAAGGCTGTTGAGTGTGCCTCTACAGCCACGGCCATAATGATGTTAAATGTAATCATCAGGCAGCTTGTGAGTTATTTGACTACGAAACTGAACCCTCTGATAAGTCTTGATGTTCTAAACATTGAACATGCTTGGCTACTAGCTATTATGACTAAAGCATAATAAAAATAATCGGATGAAAAATATATTAGATGGTTTATCTAAAAAGTAACTCCTGAGCTGAAGAAAACACCTTTGCAGTTAAGGCATGGCCTGATATTTATTACTTTTATTAAACCAATCTAAGAGAGCCAACATTATGAGTGGGTGCATAGGCTGTGTATAAGATGAGTGAAGCCATCATGTCTGAGATGTGCTTTCAAGAGCAATTTCATTAATGTTCACTAAAGAATCTGGCTGCTGTATATTCTGAAAGATGGTTTAGCAGTTTATTTCTTGCTAATTAAGTCAGTCTTTTTATTAAGAAGCAGCTAAATTAAAAGCTGCATCTTCAATCAGGTTTCAGGTTTGTAACTTCCAGCTGAATTTTCATATCCTGGCATGGTCATTTCAGCCATCAGCCTAAAAGGCGACAGTATAGTCACAAGTTTAAAATTATTCTGACCATAGAGCTTCCTTCTTTTTTTTGGTCTTTTGCCCCAGAGATGATCCAGTGCCCTGCTAGATGTTTCCAAAAGAGAAATAAAATGTAATGTCCTGAAGATGGTGGAATCTTTAAACCCTTCATCCTCTTGATACCTCTGACAGTTTTTGCCACTTTAAGGGGTTTTAATTATTCCGGCAAGTTTCTCACCTTGAGCTGATTAACCTATTTAGTGACTGCCTTTTTCATCAGCTGTCCACTTCGTACCAGTTACCTTTCATACGTTTTGTTGCCACTGACATGTTCACATAGAATATCAAAAGTGAGAAGAAAATAACCAGTTTATGATATCTGGATGTGTTTTGTTTCATATAAAAGTTGAACAGACTTGCTACTGCCCCCCCCCCCCCAAAAAAAAAAAAAAAAGAAAAACCTCATGTCTTTTATCTGAAGGTGTCACTAAGGTCATCTTCAGTGTGGCTCACTAACTTCAGCTTAAGTTCTGTACTACTCAGACAGCTCCCGGAGTTTTTTTTTCTTTCACAGAAGAGGCAAATATGCTTATTTATTCATCTCCTCAGTCCTAAACTGTGACAGGACTCCCTCATTTAGCCGGTTCTGCATGACAGAGTTGGTGTTTAGCAGCAGTCTGTGCCCAAGCTCATACAGTCAGAGAGGACCCAAGTGACGTCTGTGGGCTCTCAGAATGTGCAATGAGCAGCAAGTTGCCAACTGTATAGTGTTCCTTTGGGGTTCACAGTTTCACGAGCTTCACTGATGTGAGGTTTTACACAAACAAACACAGGCTTGGAGATCACTTAAATTGTATGTGTTTATTTGGAAAAGAACGGCGGGTGAAGAGAAAAAGGCCCTCTCTGATAGCACCTCCTTCCACGTTTTCAGGGCAGCCATGTGTTTTTAATCTTTTCTGCTGCTCCAAGTAAGAGTCTTAAACCTTGAAACATTAATGCCATCTTAATAATTTAGCAGTGAAAACATGACCATTGTTTTGCTTCTTTAAGAAAAAACAAAAGATTTGTTTTGTCACAACAGCATAAGCAGCTTCAGGGTCGACCTAATCAGCCAGCTCAGTCATTCATTGTTTTTTAGTAGAAACGTATGCCCGTTACCATCCCCGTCCACCTTAATGTGGACATTTTTTAATTAACTCTTTCATTAGCTTTTTTTCAGCTTGACACTAGTCATGATTTATAGCGGACATTTATCATGTTCTTCACGTCTGGCGTCCCGTGTGCTTTCTGCCCTTGTCTCCCTGCTCTAATCCTGAACAGGATTAAATCTTTTCTCTTCAATATTATTACATATTTACAGCATAGAAAAAAGAGAGTTGTTTGGTTTGTTGATTCAATTTTAATGCTATATATTTTATGGGACATTCTCATTAAAAAATAAGTTATTTTGACCTTTTTAGATTAAAGAAACCATAAATATACCATTACTGTCTAACCTGAAAAACCTTATGGGTGTTTGTGCTATCGTCACTTTCCTGCATGAAGACAAAAAAGGGACTTCAGCCCTTGGTGTCACACAGCAACACCGTGTGAATTACCACGTCTAGATATCACCTTCTTCAGAAATAGCGCACGTGTCTTCCTTCGAGATTTGAAAGCTCTTTTACGTTTTTTGTTGGTGTTGGATACTACTGTGCTTATGTGGAATGATTCAGAGCCAAATATAGTACTGCTGCCTCATTATGTAGTTGTTGTGTGACATCTGGACTGAGTCTGAGGCGGACGGGGCTGGTTGCTTCACAACGCCCCCGCATCATGTGAAAGTGACCTGTCTAGAAAATGTTCTTAATTGGTTAACTTTCTTTTTCCTGACCCTGGTCGGTGTAGCCACTTGCTGATTAAAAAAGCTGTTTGGTGTGCCCAAAAGCCGTCACTGCACTAATTTGTTTGCAGTTTTTTCTCATCAGTTGCTCCTTCTGCATTTAGATTTGGAAGCACTAAAGAGAAATAGTCCAAAAGACAGAGATAAAACCATTCAGTGGTAGTTGCAGATCTGTACTATATGCAGAGTTTGCATAAATGTTTGAGAAAACATGTCCGTCTGAATCGACCTGATGGTGCCAAGGTGTTGGTTAGTGCCAAATGACTAAGCTTTTCTCCCTTGTTATCTCCTAAAGGTACAGGCTTCTCCATAGCCCTAGGAAACGCTGAGTAACAGTGAACATTATTGTGCCTTTTATTTTTGTAATGTTGCATTATTGTTGTACGGTTATCTAACTTAGTAAATAACTCAACAGCTAAGCCATGCAACAGCATTTTCACACCAACAGACTAAATTAAAAGTATTGGCACACCGCAGTGAAATAATTCAGAAGATACTTCTTTTTAAGGAACTACTAATCAAGGAAATAAGCTGAAAGCCTTTAATCATCTGATTTAATAACACTCGACTCTGCTTTTGTAGCCACTGAACCACTCATATGCAGCCTGCTTACATTAGTCACTAAAAAGCCGACCGTTCTTCTACATCCACAGGAATACGGAGCTCCTACGCCAGTCAGCACAGCCAGCTTGGTCAGGATGTCAGGTCCTCAGTGTCTCCAGACCGCCACATTGCGCCAATCTATGAGGACCGGACACTCCAGGGTCCACTTTACCGCAGCCCCAGCCACACCCAGCAGGGCACCCTCTACAGGAGCAGCTCAGGTTGGTCCCACATTGTAGTACTACAGCAAGAACAGTAAGGAAAAGACTTTAGTGTTAGCCTGCAAACTCCTGACAGACCCCTCATCTGGTTGGTCCCTGTACATGATTGCACATCAGGGCATTTATAATGTACTGTATGCTTTAAATGATTTAACCCAAAATGCATGTGTTGTCAAATATGTACTTTTTAAAAAATTCATACCATTTTTGCCGTTGGATCATTTGCTAGACCAGTGTTTGATCTCAGCAAACTAGCAGTTTGGCTGCTGGCTCATGGTTTTGTCAGGTCTTTGCTACTTATCCTACTACTGAGTCACGCTGAAGCAATGTGATTCGACAGAGAGCTAATCATCTATAAATAATATAGGAATATAAAAATGGATGCAGTACCTATGTAATATTAATACTAATGGATATCAGATATTACGTTTTTTCGTCTGAGCGGCTTCTATATCTAGCCATGTTTGCAACCGTGTGGCTAAAATTATGTTCAATTTGAAAATTAGATATCTTATGAGGTATTGTTTATGTCCGCTGTGCTTTGAGGCCGTTTTTTTTTTTTTTTTGTTGATATGTTTATTGTTTTTTTTTTTTAACAACAACAACAACAACAATAACAACAAAACACAAAACAAAAGCTCAGCAGTGCAGTCCAGAGATAAAAGGAAATATAAGATGGGGGGCATACATACTTCCATCGTTGCATAGTACACATCTAAATATCAATAAATGCTCGAGACAGGATGGTAGACACGTGTCCTTCAGCATAGTCCAGGAAGGGCTTCCATATGCGTCCAAAAATGTCAGTCTTAGAGTGGACGAGGCATGTTAGAAAGTCTAGAGGAATATATTCCAAAATGAGCTTCTTCCACCCAAAAATTGTAGGAGATTTATTAGAAATCCATTGTAATAAAATATTCTTTCGGGCACAGAAAATCAGAACATTGTACAACTTACTCTTATTTTGGTTTTGGATATGTTTATTTGGTAGACCAAGGAGGAGAGACACTGGATCGGGATCAATGTTAGTTTTAAAAATTTTCCTAATCTCAAGCAGAATAGATTTCCAGTATATCTGAATCTTGGGGCATGACCAAAGACAGTGTGTGAGGCTGCCTTCATCTATTTTGCATTTTGGGCACAATGAAGAGGACCCCGGTTTAAATTTAGACACCCTGTTTGGGGCCAAGTGAGCTCTATGTATTAATTTAAGTTGCAATGCCCAGGAGCGATTACAAATAGTAATTTTTTTGGCAGAGTTCCAAATACTGCTCCACATTTCATCCGTGATCTCGATATTCAGCTCTCCTCCCCAGGCCTGGGCCTGAGTTGGTATGTGACATTTATAGCATTTTAATGTTTTGTAGCACATACTGAGTGACACTTCACGAGTTCCGAAGAACAATTTTTCGATGCCCACAATCTCAGTGTCCCTGATTAGAGTTGTTTCTTTTTTAATAAAGTCTCTTAACTGGAAGAAACGGAAGAGGTTATTTTTCCCTACTCCAAAGGCTTCCATAATTTGGTCAAAAGACATGAGAATCCCCTCCTTAAAAAGACAGCCCAAAGAGGAAACACCCTTAGCCACCCATTCCCCAAAACCTGCATCTAACATACCTGGAAGAAAGTCAGGGTTCTGGACAAAAGGTGTAAATGGGGATGTCTTCCCAGTTCTTCCCTCGATGTGTTGAACCGCCCTCCAGGCCTTGACTGTATTCACAGTGATTGGATTGTCACAGTATTTGTTTATTGTTTTTATATTTTTCAAAAAAAGCAGGCTTTTAAGAGGACAGTCACATAACGAGGCTTCTATATCCAGCCACACTGTTGATGGGTTTCCAGATATCCACTCTCGGGCATATAAAATAAGAGAACTCAATTGGTATTTTCTGAGGTCTGGAAGATCTAAGCCGCCCATGTTCCTTGGTAGCTGTAGTGTTGACATTTTTATGACTGCCCTTCTTTTGGCCCAGATAAAGGAACCAAACCAACTCTTTAATTTTTGGATCCATCTCTGAGTAAACAAAATAGGAATCATCCTAATTGGGTACAATAAGCGAGGGAGAATGTTCATCTTCAGAAGCGAGATTCTGCCCAACCAAGATATGGGAAGATAATTCCAGCGTTCAAGGTCTAGCTTAATTTTTTCAAATAATGGGACAAAGTTTGTTTTGAACATCTGATCGAAAAGAGGTGTGACGAATATGCCAAGATATTTAAATCCTGCCGGGGACCACTTAAAAGGGGAATTATGGATATAGAATTGTTTACCCAAGGGCATGGCCTCGGATTTGGAGAAGTTTATTTTGTATCCCGAGAATGACCCGAACTGATTAATGACTGCAATGACTCTTTCAATTGAAGTGGTAGGTCTAGAGAGAAACAACAGAACATCATCGGCATATAAAGATATTTTATGGGTCCCCCGATCAGTGTTGATACCGAATACAGTGGGGTCACTACGAATTGCTTCAGCCAGCGGTTCGATTGCAAGAGTGAATAATAGAGGTGAAAGGGGACAGCCCTGCCTGTTTCCCCTTCCCACCTCAAAATTTCTAGACCTAACCCCATTTGTAATAACTGCAGCTAAGGGACGACTGTAGAGGACTTTTATCCAGCCGATAAAGTTGGGGCCCAGTCCAAATTGATGCAGAGTATGAAAAAGATATGACCATTCCACGCGGTCAAACGCTTTCTCTGCGTCTAAGGACGCTACAAGACCATCCACTGCCCGCTGATGACACAGCTGAATCACATTCAAAAGACGTCTGAGGTTATTGCAGGAATTACGACCCTTGATAAAACCCGTTTGATCTATCCCTATCAGAAGGGGTAGAATGTTTTCCAAGCGTATTGCTAGAATTTTGGACAGTATTTTCAAATCTACATTAAGTAATGAAATCGGTCTGTAAGAGCCACAGTTTTCTGGAGGTTTTGATTTCTTAAGAATTAAGGATATATTTGCTTCCCGGAGGGAAGGGGGGAGGACACCGTTACCAAATGAGTCGTTCAGCATGGATAGATAGGGCTTTAACAGCAGGTCCATCAATGTTTTGTAGAATTCCGAAGTGAGGCCGTCCGGGCCCGGGGCCTTCCCTCCCTGTAGGGATCTGATGGCTCTTTCCACCTCTGCCTCCGATATTTCTGCATTTAGATCTTTTTTTCTGTCATCTGGCAAATTGGGCAGCTTAATTTTTGAGAAAAATGTTTCCATTAAAGATTGAGAGTTGTCACATTGTTCAGATTGGTACAAATTTTTGTAAAATTCACAAAAAGCTGCGTTTATTTTCTCTGGGTCTGTAGAACATAGACCCCTCTGGTCAGTAATTGAAGCAATTGTTTGGGAAGTCTTCCGTGTTTTTGCAAGAAAGGAAAGGTATCTACCTGGTTTATCCCCGTATTCAAACAATTTTTGTTTAGCAAATTTGACTTTGTCTGTAGCGTTCTGCGTCAGTAATGTGTTCAGTGAGCACCGGATAGCATTGAGCTCCCCCAACTTAGACCGCGAAGGTTTTTTTATATATTCTTCTTCCGCGAGTCTAAGCTTTCTTTCTAAAATGTTTTGTTGTTCTGCAATTCTTCGTTTTTTGCTTCCTGTATATGATATAATTAATCCTCTACTAAATGCCTTAGCTGTGTCCCAGAGCAAGGAGGGGCTGCTAGCAGAGGGAGAATTGACAGCGAGGAATTGTTTGAATTCTGTTCTAAAATACTCCACAAATTTGTCATCTTTTAAAATGAAGGGATTTATTCTCCAATGATTTGATTGAACCCTAGCATTTTTAAAGGTATAATGTAGATACACTGCAGCATGGTCAGATATAACAATGTGCCCTATTTTGCAGGAAGCAACTTGTCTTAAAATAGTTTTAGGGAGAAAAAAATAATCAATACGTGTGTGGCATTTGTGGGGGTTGGAGTAGAAAGTATATTCCTTTCCAACAGGATTGAGTTTTCTCCATGCATCCACAAACCCTGCCTCCTCAAAAAGATCAAAAATCTGTTTTGATTTCCCTGAAATGGGAAGGGGGCTAATGGGGAGCCTATCAATTAGTGGATTCTTAAGACAATTAAAATCACCTCCCACAATGACATTTTCAAGAGAGAGCCCTGCAAGTTTTGCCATTATTTCCGTTAAGAAATTAATAGGGTGGCCCGGTGGAAAATAAACATTCAATATGGCAAATTCTTTCCCATTTATCATTGCTCTGACAAGTACGTACCTCCCATTTGTGTCTTTAAAACATTCTATGACTTTAAAGGGCACTGATCTTTTAATAAGAATTGCAACTCCTCTGCTTTTGTTCGTAAAGGAGGAGAAAAAAACATGTTCAAAACCGCATTGAAGCAATTTTAAATGTTCGGAGTCATTTAAATGTGTCTCCTGCAGCAGCGCTATATCTACGCTTTCCTTCTTAAGGGCTAAAAGGACCTTCTTTCTTTTAATTGGTGAGTGACTTCCTTTAATGTTCCATGTACATATTCTTAGCATTTATAATTCAGAGTCATAATGCAATGCTACCCAAATAATGATTACACAAAAGGAATGCAGTCTGCTGAGCTGAACAGGAACCAACCAAAACCAACAAATTAGAACCAGAATAAAACAGAAAAATGCGCATTCCGGGCGCGCTTTCCCCCTAAACCTGCAGGGGGCCATCCCTTCCTTAACCAAGCACGTGTGTTTCATCTCCATGGTGAGAACACACACGGGTACACAAACCCAAAAGAGAAAGTCCATCACATCCATCGTTGCTGCGCACCACTAAGCATCACAAGAAAATACAACTGAGCAGATCAGATTGAAATGAGTCATGAACACAATTACTCACATCACTTATCCTTATGCGTGAAGAGGGGAACAGAAAGAGTCAGAACATACGGTCCTTAGAAGTCAGAGCTCTAACACCGTCCGGTCCAGAGCGTTTGCCTCCATGATCTTCCGCTGGCGTTATTTCAGCCTAAACTGTCCACAAACTCCATTGCTTTTTCCGGCACGACAAAAATCTTTGCTTCCCCATCGCGTACGATCCTCAACCTGGCCGGGTACAGAAGTGAGTACTGGATGCCTGCCTCCCGCAACCGTCGCTTTACCGCATCGAATCCTTTCCGCCTGCGCATGGTGTCTGCCGAGAAATCCTGGAAGAACATGATCTTAGAGTTCTGATACATCAGAGGCTGGTCTCCGCTCCCCGCACGCCTCGCGGCTTCGAGAAGCTGCTGTTGATCTCGGTAGTTATGAAATCTGATCAGCACAGGTCTTGGTCTCTGTGACGGCCCGGGCTGTGGAGCCAGTGTGCGGTGCGCCCTCTCGAGCTTGATCCGGCCGTTCTTGGTTTCGATTTGTAGAAATTCGGGCAGCCATTTTTCAAAGAAATTTAGGGCTCCAGGGCCAGCTTCTATGCCCTCTTTTAAACCGAGCACCCGAATGTTCTTTCTCCTGCCTCTGTTTTCAATATCATCAATTCGTTGTGCCATAGTGAGGGTCTCTTTCTCCAACTTTTTTATGCTTGCCGTAGCCTGCTCCAGGGCGTCCTCCTGAGCTGCGATCCTGTCCTCCGCATCTGTAGTGCGTCGGGCCAGCTCCTTTATCTCCGTGGCTTGGCTCTTAAGCATTTCAGTCAGAGTGTCTATTTTCTGGGAAATAACTAATGAAATGTTCCCAGTGATTTCTTCAATAACTTGGCGGAGAGCAGGATCGAGTGTGGTGGCCCCCCCAGCCGCTGGCGGCTTAGCAGCTAGCTCCGTGTTAGCCATGTTACCTGTGTCAGCCAGTTGAGACTCTACTTCGCAGGTTTTGTTAGTTTTCTTTAGGATTTTGGGCGGCATTGTGCTGGAGTGAGTCGGAAGATCGTTCATCAGTGTTGTATTACCACATTTAGTTGGATAGTCGTAGTGAGACGGTGGTATTCTGCTCAGATATAGAATGTATGGTGCGCAGCTCAACGAAGTCAACTGCTCACTACGCCGCCATCTTCCGGAATCCCGCTTTGAGGCCGTTTTGAGTTTTTGTGAGCCATGTGCGATTGAAGTTGTTCATATATTTACAAGAACGTCACTTGTTTTCTTTGTTTTTAATTAAATTTCTCCCTCTTTGTCCTGTGTTTTCTTCCTTTTTGTTGTTGGCTTTGCAGTCTCCATAGCAGCATAGATTTTTAGCTCATTCTTCCATCACTCTGAATAAACACAGCCTTGCCTGAAGTAAAATTTCTCCTTGCAGGTGCACTTGCCCTTTTGATTTAGAATATCTCTCAAAGTCTTTGCCATTTAATGAGAATGTCCTTGACTCTGAAGTATTGTCTTCTTGAGGGAACACCATCTCTCTGCCCTTTAGCTTAGTATATATTATGTCTTTCTTTTCTGCTTTCCACTGTAGACCTTAGTTTTCTTTGCTTCTCTCTTCCCCTGCCTTGGAGCAGAAGCCTTGCTTCTGCTGCTGTCAGGCAGAAAAGGATGAGACATGAGTTAATGGACATGTTCTGATATGTCATTCTACCATAAAAGAGTCCATTACGCATGTGTCACTGAGAGCTCCCAAAGAAGGACAAAGAATGACATCCACAGCCAGCTCTCAACTTATGTTGACATCCTCATCATTTCTCTGCCTGAAATATGGATGCTGAGTTTCCACTTTCAGACACACACACAAATACACACTTTCTTCAGCATTCTCTGTGGCACGCTGCTTATGAGTTCAATAAGTTTGCCAATAAATGCTATTGATGCTGCATAGAAGCCCCACAGAAAAAAAACACTACAATGTGCTTCTGCGGGATATTGAGAATGAGAAAGTTACTGAGAACCAGAGCGGTGTTCAATACGGAGCCTCTGCAATCGCTCTTTCATTAGAAAATACAATTTGATCCCATTTTTTTTCTTTGCTATGGAATGAAATGACATTTCAGTGGGGCATTTCACCCCATCAGCTTTACATGCATTCTTGGCTGATTCTCAGAGTGCCTCCTGGACTTCTTTCTGTTAAGTTGGAGGAAGACGTTAAATGGAAACTATCGATCCTTTGCAGAAATGGTGACCAGTGGGATACGAATAGTACTGCCACGATTGTGAAGCTCTACTATGTTGTTTAGAATCTGTGTTCCAGCGTCTCTGTAAGGTTATGCTGCGAAAGATAGCCACACTGCCAGGCGGGAAGTGCTTCCCAACATAGAAGTGCACTGAGGCAAGAAATCGTGTTTTTGGAGCAGAACCGCAAGTTGACGTTTCGGTTCCTGGTAGGAGGGGGTTTGGGCACGCTCACGCCCAGTTCTGTTCGACACAGACGCAGCAGTAAAGCTGGCTGAAGTCACGTGGCCTCTTCTTACCAGCTTGTTTATGCAGCTCTGTGTTTGTGACCCATTGTGCTTAAATGAAAACGGGTCATAAGATCCCACAGAGGAAATGAAAAGAACAAAGATGACTGGAGCCATACACTCCGAGGCTTACCGTGGCTCTCTTCATGGTTTTGATGCTTCAGCTTTGCTTTTTCTCTGTCTTGAATGTTTTTGGAGCTGGACGTGGTTTGCTCAATCCTGTGTGCTTTGGCTAAATTAGTGTAAGGATGTGGGATTGCAGAGGATCTAGACGGCACTGAAGGAGGAATTTGAGGACGGTTCAAACAGGTTGAGCCCTTTCGTCGTCTCTAAACACCAGTAGGACCCCTCTGGCTAAAGACAATCTCGTAAAAGCCAAAGCAGCGTGTAAAGAAGTCTTTGAAGGGGAAGGGCACTGCTTTTTGCCTCCGTTGGAGCTGTGTTTTATCCTCGTCATTAATTGGTTGCAGATTTGAGAATTTGCAGAGTTTGTCAAAACATCAGCATGCGTGTGTTTTCAGCTGTAGGTAAACCTGTACGGAGCTGGTGTGCAAAGCTCAGAGTTTATGTGGAGAGGTCTGAAAACCTGTATGTCATAACCTGTGGATGTTTTGTGCCTCAGGTGTGGGGAGTCTGCAGAGGTCGTCCAGCCAGCGCAGTGCCATGACTTACCAAAGAAACAACTATGCTCTTAACACAGCAGCCGCCTATGCCGATCCGTATCGCTCAGCACAGTGCCGGCCCTCTGACCCAGCCTACGCTCGCCAGGCTCTCGTAATGGACGACGGAGCTGCCCGCTCCCCTTCCATAGACAGCATTCAGAAGGACCCCAGGTAAAGACCACTCACATTCCACTCTTCAGCTCCGTCTGCAAACCACAACATTTACCCTGGTTAGTAAGCAGCGTAGTGCGGCTCAGCCCACTCGTCCAGGGAGGACTTACGCTTACAAGACGTCGCTGTTCTGCTCGTTCAATGCGGGCGTCCCCTTACTATTCAAACAGAAAGCCCCTTTGGGTCGCCACACACAGCTTTAGCCATTTAAGAGAGCTTGACTGTGCCTGGCCCCTTAACAATAGATTCTCACATGCGCCAAAGTGCTGCGTCTGCTCCTGTCCCACCAGCGTGTGGACGGGTAGAGAGTGGATGGACGCTTTCTGTACGGCTCTGACCTCGCACATTCAGTGCTTTGTTTACTCATGTGCGAGCCACTGTAGTGCAGCTAACTAAAGGAACCACAGAGAACTATGCAGAGTAGAAATACTAAAGGAATGATCTCTAACAGTGTGTGGATGCTACTTCGTCTCAGTTTATGAGCGATTTCTTATGAGTGAATTAAAGACAGAAAAGGAAATCAGGAGTTTAGTTGTATACCAAATATGTATTATAAAGCACCTCCAAAGTAAACTGTAGTATACACTAGAACCTGACCTGAGTGTAATTTCCTGGGCGTGCTGTTTTCTCTCGGATGCTGAAGGACTCATTACAGAAGGAAAAAGCTCTTTTGGCTTTTAAGGATTCAACACCCCATTCTGTGTCTGTTGTCATGCTGATACCTTTTCTGTTCTTCCAGAGAGTTTGCGTGGCGTGACCCAGAGCTGACAGAGGTAATCCACATGCTGCAGCACCACTTCCCCTCTGTGCAGGCCAACGCAGCTGCCTACCTCCAGCACCTGTGCTTTGGCGATAATCGAATCAAGAGTGAGGTGGGTGCCGTACCACTATTTCCATTTAAATGTTTTTTTCTTTTTTTTTCTTTACATTTTAAATGGAATCCACATTATTCATTTCATTAGACTGCTTGTCCATTTCCAAATTCTTGCTCAGCAATAAAGACTTCCAGCTTTAGGGAAACCAAGACAAACAAGCTGTAGATGTAGCTGCAGTTTATTGGAGCGACTTTTGGTTCAGCATGCTCACAGTTTTCTGTGCAGGTAATACATCTTGGCGACAAATTTGTGGACATCATCAAACTAATCATGCTATCACTTCTCCAATTAGTTTGTTCAGCAGGTTTATTAAAACCAATTGAACCGGCGGTCATTGCTAAAATAAACAAAGGTCATTATGTCTGTCTGGAAATGTCTCTTAATTGAGTTGAACTTAGAGTGAGGTGTCATAGCTGTCTGTTGTTGTTACATATAAAATGTTGATTTTATATGTAACAACAATCTATATATGTTATTATACAATATACACATACATTATACAGGTCCAATATGAAACTATTTCAAGTGTGTACTCTTACAGATGCTAAATCTCTGCACATCGCACTGAAAAATTAACACGATGTGATAAAAAAGTGTTAGGTTTGTTTTTGCTTTCCATGATTGTGTATTAGCATAGTTTTCCCAGGTAATTTGTGTGTGGTATGAATATATTTTCTGTGTTTAGATTCTCTCCCCTCATGCATAAATGTAAGACTTAGCTCTCCAAAGTACTGTTTGTGTTCAAAATCGTCAGTCTGATACTGTTTGCTCTTTATCAGGTGGGTCGACTGGGAGGAATCAAACACCTGGTGGACCTGCTGGATCACAAAGTCATTGAGGTCCAGAGGAACTCCTGTGGAGCTCTGAGAAACCTTGTTTATGGCAAGGTTATGGACGACAACAAGATCGCTGTTAGGAATGCTGGAGGTATCCCAGCTCTGCTCCGCCTGCTGAGGAAAACTGTGGATGCAGAAGTCCGGGAGCTTGTGACAGGTTTGAAGAGCATGTTTTCACTTTGAAATCATATAAAATGAATTCCAGCTTGATATACACACAGATTTAAATGCAGGTATGCGTTGCTACACTGCCTCTAACCCACCCGATGTGGTAGTTGCAGATATACTTGCAGAACTTGTTGTCGGACATGAGGTGTGGATTCATGTTTCCCCTGTCCGATGACAGTTATTCTTTACGTCTCTTCCTCTCTGCACTGCGCTGTGTGTAATTCAGTTGTATTAGTGCGTTGTTTAAGCCTTACAAATAGGATATAAATCCATGTTGTTTTGGATCAGGGTGGAGCACTACTGATTTAAGCAAGCCAAGACATTTGGTGGCTGAGTCAGCTGTTTGTGCTGGTTTCCAGCCTCCTCTCTAACATGGTTTCAGATTACAGTTGTGTAGATCCCTGAAGGAAAACAATACAACCAGCGTATGAGCATAATGTTTTTGTATTGTCTGGTAAGAGGCTGTTTTCAGCTGCCGCTGTTGGTCAACTTGATATTTACTTTGCTTCAGACACACAAACAGGAATTAGTCTGTAAATATGAAAAGGGCTCAAGAGCATAATGTGTCTCGGCTCATGCCCGTGTTTATGTTTGTACACAAAAACAACTGAAATACTGTCCTTGTCATATGTCTAACTTTAAAAGTCTAGACAGTTATTTGTGGCGCAATCAGAGGGAGCAGCATTCATGTCAGCCTTGTTTGATTTTTCCTGTTTCATCCACTCATCAGAGACTCTGCTGTGGCTAATTGGCCGAGCAGATCCCTGCACATGGAGCAGTTGGAAAAGGTTAGCAGTGCTGAATCACCTTTGGTTAATTACAGCTGATGAGAACAATCCACATAAAGAGCCTTCAGGTGGAAGACAAGGGCAGCCCTCCCCACATTTCAAAGTGAAGCAGACATAACTCACCCACGGCTCCTTTCTGCTTTAAAAGTAACTTTTGTGCGAGATTTATAACTTGAGCTTTAAGTCCTCTTAAGCAGTGTGCTCAAAAGGCAGTGGAGAGGCTGCCCAGTTGTCAGTGCTAATAGGTGTTTATTGATTCTGTGGCAGCTTCTGGACTCCCCCAGGAGCCCCAGGTGTCAGTGATGGGGCGAGCTGTAGGATCAGGCCACCCCTGCTTCAATGTCAGGGGTCAGGTTGTTGGTAGTCACAATGCAGTTTGCTGTCCCTAACCGTCTTTGTCTCCCAGCAGCTGCAGTGTTTATGGCTCTGCCCTTAAACAGCCCTCAGATCAAAAGGCTAAGCCCACTTCTCTGTCTTTAGCTCACACACTCGTGCTTAAAAGGTAAAGGGTTTTCATCCTGTCATAGATCCGATATAGCTTCCCTTATCCTGACTTACTTGTGCCAAGTAAGGTTTGACTTGATCTAATTTGCTTATCGTAAACAAAGTTTAGAACTTACACTTAGTGGGTCAGAACAGCAGCTACACTGTAGGAACTTTTCAACCACTGACATGCTGCCTTTTTTACACACCATAACACAAAAAGGATATGAGCCAAAGAGAAGAAATTGCAATCCAATGGATCCACAATAGATCCAGCTAAAGCAATGAGCTCTAACTCTCAGACTCGAGCTCCGTGTGGGAGAAAATGAGAAACGCCCACTAACCTCAAAAAATACTCACTGAGCTGACTCTGAGCTTTTGTCAATGCAGCATTGACAATTTTCAAGTTCAGCTCCCTAAAACTGAAAGGTTAAGAAATTGGGTGCTTTTTGGATTATCAGCATCTTTTCAGAACTAAAGGATAACTCCATTCTTGGCTCTCCCAGAGAAGATGATGACATACTGATGTAGTCTGGAGACAAAGACTGACTCAAATGAGCAGACGCACATTTTCCCAGTCGGTTTAAAACAGTTTCATACTGTGTGTCATAAGTAAACGTTTAGCCACTAAGAATCAGGACAAGATGTTCTCTTCAAAAGTGAAAACTTCACTTTAAAGTCCTGATCATCCAACAAGATTTTCACAAATGATTAGCAGTAGTTTTTCATCAGTGATTTTAAGCAGACAGTTCCATCTATCATTCATCTCTCATCAGTAACGTTACACTACGATATAAGCATCCCCTTGTGGATTCAGTCTGTTTACAAATCTGCTTTTTGAATAGACCTGGCAGTTTTCTCTCCCTGCTCTGTCTCCCTGGATGCTGTTCAGATATTCCACCCTGAAGATGTTTTCCTGACCTCCAGTGGTCCAAACTGTCTGCACCATGCTCTGTGCCATGTGTGTGCTGTGGCTATGTTTGCATTTCTCTTCCTGATTTTACTCCTTATGTGCTTTCCTTGGCTGTTGCTCCCAGCTGACAACTGTCTCACAGCTCCTCCCCTGCTTGGTTCTAAAACACGTAGAGAGCTAGATTTCCGGTCAAGGATCGGGAGAAATTGCTCACAGCCTTCAGTATCTGCTGGTTATACAACTTACCTGCCTCAGATATGAGACATTTGTCAATGACTTTCAAAATGTGTCTGTGAGGTGACAATAGGACCACCGCTGCAGTAAGTTAAGTCAGCAAAGTGCATCCAGAGAGCCAAACACACCCTTTCAGGCCACACCTCATTTGAGGAACTTGTGAAGAATAACAACTCTGGACAGTCCAGCTCTTTTGTTTTCTGGTTATTCACCCACGTCTGTAGAATACACAGGAAGATTTTGGGTCGATCTGTGCTTTTAAAATTTTTCTTATAAAGTATGTCACCTCTTTGTTGGAAGAAATATTTCAGCTGTGTTTTTTATCTGCTGTGTGTGCATTTGCACTGCAGCCCAGCGTGGTTATCGACAGAATAAAGTGAAGAATTGAAAGAAAGTGGCATAGGTTGATGTAGTGGATTAGATAGGTTTGTCACATGCAAATTGGCTGATGGGGAAATCTGCTTTATCAATCAAAGCGATCGGTTATCGGCACCGACCGACATCCAAAGCCCTGCTGAGTCAATATTTGACTCTTTGGAAACTATCACACAAAATGAAATCCCTTGTAGTTCCTTATCAGTGACCCACTGACCTGCAGCATTTCTTTATCACACTGAAATGCCACAGCCTGTTCCAGGCAGCCTTTCAGTTCTCAGTGAGATTGCTATCCTTTTTGTTCTTCCACCCTAGTGGCAGCGGGCATCCAGCTGCTGCAGCTGCCGGCCTCTCTGGCACAACATGTTGTTATTTGGGTCGAAGTTAGTTTCAAAGTCGAGTGAAAGCAACTGCCACATAGCAGTGAGCAAAATGTGGGATGTTTATTCACACACAAACACACTCGCTCAGGTCTGGTCCATCATACTGTCAGATATGACTTAGGAGGACTGCTCCAGGTGTGGCACCGCTGACAGGCCTGTCAGTCACACCTCAGTAATTCCTGCAGTTGATGTGTCCAGCATTAGGCCCCTGTGGGAGCACTCTGATATCCAGCAGGGAACATTCATTTCTACAAATTGCTGTTAGAGTGGGTGTGGAGGAACATGCTACAGGGGGTTGTTGATCAAATTCGTTCGAATTATGAGGTTGGGCCGTTGGTCAGCAGGCTGCAGCCTTTTAGCGAGCATTAACTGTCCCCTTTCCCTTGGAAAATTCAGCTGTCCATGCCTCAGCTTTGTCATGCGTTTTGCTTGTATGCTGTAAATCTAGATTTTATGAAGTTTGGAGGCACTTGAGGATAATGGCGGTGGAAGCGGTTTATTAAATGACAGGCAGCGGCAGAGGTGTTGCTGTGTGGCGGTTCTTTTCTGGAGAGCTTTTTGCCATCGGTGTCTGAATTGGGCTCCTGAGCCCCATTATAGACTTCATCGTTTCCATTTCTTCAATTAGAGCAGGGGGAGCTGCATGCTGAGAGAAATTAAACAGCGAGGTTTAGAAAGAAAAAGCTTTGAAAGACTGTCATTAATTTGATCTTCCTATATGATGTAAATTACCTGAGTGATCTGATGCAATGTGATTAGCATTTGAAAAGCACAGATCAGACTAAGACTGGTAACACTCGTGCATACTGAGCATATGCCCGCTAGTTTTGTCTTGAGGATTTTCTGCTTCTAGCATCAGGCATTCATTTACTTCTTAATATTTAGTTTGTGCATTTGTCTCCTGAAGGTTACCGATAGCCTGGAGTAGCCGATTTCTGCCCATATAAGCCTGAAAGCAAGGAGCCATCTAATTAAAAGAACATGTTACATGCTGGGTAATCCTGAACAGATGCAACTTCAAAGGCTTGCAAGGACTGCGCATGATTATCAGCGGTTACCAAAAATGTATTCCAACACAGTGAAATGATGGCATAATTTCTGAAGACTTCACCATTATTTAGATTTAATTTCAAGTGACTGAGGCATGTGGATCTCTGCCTCACCCCTCTTTTCCCCCATTTCAAGTAATAAGCTGTGCTTTGAGGACATCAGCGCCCGATGAAATTTGATGTAAATTGATGCCTTGATGCCAGGACTGTGGAGGAGTATTTTCTTTCAGGCGCTTTGTGTGCGTGTCATTGTGTGGTTGATTGGATTCATTTGTTCACAGTCACATCAGCACACACTGAGACTTCTGTAAGTTTTTGTTGTTGTTTTTTTCTTAGCTTAATGTGACAGCTTACCAGTTTCTCAGTGCACGTCTTGGTTTGCTTTCCCCCTCAGGGGTGCTGTGGAACCTATCGTCATGTGACGCCGTCAAGATGACAATCATCCGGGACGCCTTATCAACACTGACCAACACTGTGATCATCCCTCACTCTGGATGGAGCAGCTCCACCTTTGACGACGACCACAAGCTGAAGTTTCACTCCTCCCTGGTGTTGAGGAACACCACTGGCTGTCTGAGGTAAACCACCTGATGATCCCACTGGACCCTAGCGCCACTCTGTGGCGACTTACTGTAATTACATCTAGCACAGCATGCGCTGATATTGTGGCTCAGCTGCAAATAGCCATGTTGAGTAACTCACCAATGATGTGAGAAAAAGAACATTTTAGCAGTTTGGAAAGACAATAATTAGAAGCTTTAACTTGTTCCATCAATATTGTTAACAGTATCAGGAATATGACTTCTACAACCTCAGTTAAACGTCAAATATCTTAATTAAATGGACAGGATTTCCATCCCTCTCCAGCTTTTTTTAAAGACAGCCCCTTTCCTAAGGTAGTAAAAGATTACATTATTATTCAAGCTTTTCATCTTGGACTTCTGAGACCACATGCAGTGACCAGAGATCAAGATTTAAATGGTAACACTTAGCTGATGGAGGTATTTTTGCATCTCTTTGCCTGTGAGCATGCATAGGTGTGACTGATAGTTCCTTATTTACCTGCTAAAGCACTGTCATTACCTCAGTCCGACCACACATGTTCACCTCATACATAATGGATGGTGTATGGGAATGGCAAAACCCACAGTGCTCTTTCAAGTTAGACAAAAACACAGCTGTCTTTTGCCTAACATGCGTATGTGTGTGTGTGCAAATGGTTTTTTAAAAGGAACCTGAGCTCGGCCGGGGAGGAGGCCAGAAAACAGATGCGCACTTGTGAGGGTCTGGTTGACTCACTGCTCTACGTCATCAAAGCCTGTGTAAACACCTCTGACTTCGACAGCAAGGTACACCACACAAACACTTCCCACCCACCCGTCCACGTGCACACAGAAGCACACACACTTAGCAAAAGGAAAATATGCACCCAAATGATAACAGGCGCTGTTGGAAAATCCTCCCAATAAACATAATTTTAGCCCCTTTGTCTAAATGGCTTGCAGCTGTTAGCAGAAATCATTTCCTGCTTCTTGTAACCTAAGGCACCAACACGTGTGGACATTTAGAATTAACATCTTTATGCTTAGGTTACAAAAGGATTCTCACTTCCCCAGCATAGACTTAGAAAGCCAAATGGATCATCTGGAAAGTGGAGATGGAAACCCCTGGGAAAGACCTTTTAACTCAGTCAAACACATGGCGTTTGCTCATTGCCATTCTGTGAGGCAAACCTTTCCACAACTCAAACAGCATGTAATAAAATTTGTTTTGGACCAGATATTTATCTAACCAGACCCATAATTAACTTATTTCATTATGAAACATAATAGAAGGTCTTTGTCTAACATATCAAATATAGATGGAATGCTTCACACAGTTGTAATGCCTAACTTTTATGATTTTCAGAGCCATTTTTAATGAACCACCCTCAACCTCTTCTTTCTTGTGCCTGCCAGATTGTGGAGAATTGTATTTGCACTCTAAGGAATCTTTCATATCGTCTGGAGCTGGAGATGCTGCCGTCTCGACTGATGGGCGGGCAAGAGCTGGATGGCTTACTGGGCACAGAGTCTCCCAGTAAAGAGGTGGATTCCAGCTGCTGGGGCAGAAAGAAAAAGAAGAAGAAGAACAGCTTGCAGGAAGACTCAGTGAGTGTGGTCTGTTAACAGAGAGATGACTGATTTGGAGCACTATTCAAACAGGAAACGTGTTTGTGTGGTATAAATTAAAAGTTACTTGGGTTTAGCCTAAACTGAGGTGTGCAGGCCTAACAAAGAATACCACACAGTGTGTTAGTCCCTCATAATTTCCATTATTGTTATAAAAATACCACACAGGCCCAGCCTTTCATAGAGTCTGACCGTCCCAATCCTGTAATACTGTGTTTGTTCAGTGGGACGGCGTTGGGCCTATCCCTGGCTTCTCCAAGTCTCCAAAGGGTGCAGAGATGCTATGGCACCCCGCTGTGGTTAAACCTTACTTGACTCTGTTGGCTGAGAGCTCCAATCCTGCCACTCTGGAGGGTTCAGCAGGGTCCCTTCAGAATCTGTCAGCTGGAAACTGGAAGGTACCACACATGGATTTGTATATCTATGCACACTCATAAACACAAACATTCTATTTTGTCCCCTTTCCGTAGTCATTAAATGTGATTCCTTGGAGACAAAGCATCAATTCAACTGGTTTAAAAGGATTTAACAGCTCACCTCATCCGTGTCAGTCAAGGCTAATGTCAGTTTTATGCTTGAAATCACACACAGTTTTAATATATGCATCCATTTCCCTGTGAGGCAAAGAGACGCTTATAAAGATTTAATGTGTCTCTTTTTTATGTGTATAGTTTGCAGCATACATCCGTGCAGCAGTGCGTAAGGAAAAGGGTCTACCAATCCTGGTGGAGCTGCTCCGGATGGACAACGACCGGGTGGTGTGTTCAGTTGCCACCGCTCTGAGAAACATGGCACTGGACGTCAGGAACAAGGAGCTTATAGGTCAGCTTTAGTACTCTGAGGAAAAAATAATGTACATCATGGAGAGTAATGGCTCTGTTTAGCTGAATGGCTGATGACGACATGCACACACAGATTAAAACAGATTAAAACATCCATCCACAAAATATGTTCAAGCACGGTGGTAGCATATTGTTCTGGATCTTTTTTTCTTCCAGCAGGGCTTATTTTAGCCTAAACTCTAATAACCTCTGATAAGTCTAACAACTAATCTAACAAGATTGATTGAAGATGTGGCCCATAACACATATAATACCCATGATCAGAACATGTTTAACCCGATGTGTTTCTGAAAGCAGTCAGTTTTTCTAAGGTCCCACTTGAGTATTGATTAGTTGTTTGTTGTAGAGGGATCACGCCTGAAAGCACAGGGGAAAATCAAAAGATTATGGTGACGGTTTAAGATGTGTTTGTGTTTCACTGGGCACTGCAGCTTCAGTTGAGCTGCAGCACAATGTCATTTAGGGAACCTACACAGCACACTGCAGGTTCAGGCAGAATTAATGCATCATTCCTGATACAGGAGCCAAATCAGGCTGTTGAGGTCAGATGAAACACTTTTACTTCAGCATTATGTAACGTGTAAAAAAAAAAAAAAATGCAGCAAACGATTTTATGTGTGGCAGCTTCCGCCCCCCCTGCGTGCCTGGGGTCCTGCCCACAAACCCGCAGTTCTGTGTGTCATTATGCATTAGCTGCATGTCTCACTTCCCATCTCTCCTCCCACGCAGGGAAGTACGCGATGAGGGACCTGGTTAACCGTCTCCCAGGGGGAAACACCACCCTGCTGTCAGATGAGACTGTGGCAGCCATCTGCTGCACCCTGCACGAGGTCACCAGCAAAAACATGGAGAATGCGAAAGCCTTGGCCGACACGGGCGGCATCGAGAAGCTGGTCAACATCACCAAGGGCAGAGGAGACAGGTGTGCTACAGGGACGTGTATTTGTTGGAACGCCCTTTTTTCCCCTTTAATTTGTGCTCCATTTGAGCATGTGCACATGCTCAGATGGTCCCCCACAAAAAGACACGCATTCAGTCCGTAGCCATGTGGCTGGTGGGTAGGCTTATATCCCGGATAGCACACGCACTAAAATTTAAATGCATTGAGAAGTTTAGGTCATAGCCACAGGCAAGGTGATAGTTTGGTGTGCACTGAGGTTTCAAATCCCTGTGGAATAATGGTGCAGCAGTTATTTCTAGCCTGCTATATATTCGGTAATGTTCCGGGATGAAATACAGTAAGGACGCGCTTCATCAATCACATTGTCCTGTACTATCCACAGTGTGACTTAGAATCAGGTTAAAGTGATGCAGGAGGACTGAGAGATGCATATGAATGGTTTGGACTGTTTTCCAGGTACTCTGTGAAGGTGGTGAAAGCTGCAGCTCAGGTGCTGAACACACTGTGGCAGTACAGAGACCTGCGCACCATCTATAAAAAGGTAAGCACTCTGGGATTGATTACTATTGTAATGTAGTCTGTCATTTAAGTTTAAAATCAGTTACAAACCAGTGAAACATCAGGTACATCAGGCTGCAATTCCACCTGTTTGATCTCCCAGTCGGGATTTTGAACAGAAAATCAATCAGTGTGACCTGATTAGAATATTGACTGTTCTCTAAATTCACTGACATTTGGTTCTGTCGGTAATTGAAATTGTGGGTTTATAATAATTCAAAATTCCAACTGTGTTACTTTGGTAGCACATATGCAAAATATGCAAAAAATTCCAACTTTGCAGTTGGTTGTAGTCTGATTAACATTTTATGTCAATGCTCATAATGAAGAAAGTTTAAAAAACTGTTCTTGACGGTTTAGACTTTCGTCAGACCCACACAAATACCTCAGATGTATTTTACAACAGTCAGCATTATCTAAACCACCACGCTCCCTCGTCTGTGTTGCCTGAACAGGATGGATGGAACCAAAACCATTTCATCACCCCTGTATCAACGCTTGAGCGGGACAGGTTCAAGTCCCAGCCCACCCTCCCCACCAACAGCATTCAGATGTCTCCAGTCAGCCACCCTGGTACGTTCATTTAGATACAAACAGGCAGCATCAGGGAAAATTGTCAAAAACCTCTCGTATTTAAGTCTATTTGATGGTTTTGTCTCCCCAGCTGCAAGTGCCACATCATCTCCTGCAATGTTGGGCATCAAAGAGCACAGAGACACCATCAGGAGTTATCAGAGAGCTCCATCAACTATGCAATTTTCTAATTACCAAGGAGACAGCAGTATTCATAGAAAACAGTATACAGGTACTCATCTGAAAGCTGAGTTTATAGGAAAATGTTTTATCTCCCTCGTCCCGCAGATGCCATGGCCAGTTTCCCCTGTCTGCCAAGACAATTCTTTTACTGTTTCCACCAACACCTGCGACAGACAGCTTGTCAGTTTAACTCAGAGCGCCTCAGAGCTGTTTTCCTGCTGTAGTTGCTCGCACAACAGTAAAGTGGAGCAACCAGCCACTTGACAATGGCGCCATTGTTAGCAGGGTCTAAGTCAGAGCTCGCAGACAGAGGCAGTGAGTGGGCACCCAGACACACTGCAGCCAGACGCGGGCTCTCGCCAGCCTACACCGGTTGGTGGGAGCAGGAGGGAGGACAGAGCAAACAAAATGAGCCGCAGCCTCAACAATGCATGTTTTACGCGGGGAAGTGGAAATTGAGTTTCTGGATTCCGCCGGTTTGATAAAGTGCCAATGAAAATACCCATCCCATGGGTTATGTAAACAGCGGTGCCGCAGCAGCGGCCAAGTCCATTATTTGGTGTTATTTCTCTTCAGCATAGCGCAGCACTTCTTGATCCCTCTCTATATAAGTACAGATGTTTGCCCTTTGGGAATGTGCAGACTTTTCTTTTTCATTAATATGAAAGGAGGCGTTTGTGCATGAAGTCCCACCGTTTGATACACCGCATCACTCACTGTGCTGCTATTACGTTCCAGGCTCTGGAAAACCGTCTCCATATTACTACTCATCACCCACAAGGGAGGAGCCCAGAAGAACACAGGTGAATATGTTAATATTCTGTGTCCTCATCCACTCAGAGTCGACCCTGCAGACGAACCCAGTGAGAGTTAATGTTTTTGTACACACTGGTTAGACTATTTAGTTAGTTTTCCTTTTCGATGCTTGCTGACATCATTTGTCTCGGATCCTTCCTTAATATCCCTTCACTTTCACCGTTCAAAAACTGGAAAGAGAGAGCAGCTGGTCTGCCTCTGCTGCCTTACACAAAGGGGTCTGACACATATTCCACTCACGACGCCGTGAAAAACCAAGCACATCAGCTATTGTTTGAGCCTGAGTGAATGTGACTGCTGGGATTGGGAAGGCCTGGCCGCGTCTCGGGAACTTGTCACTGTTGGACACATCCATGTGTGCCCATTCAGATAACAGGCACAGAGGAGAGTTTTCTTTTGCCCTTCATATTATCACAGCTTGACAAGTTGAGTCATTGCCTATTGATATGCTTTTCTAGCTACCCTTCAACCATCTTGTAGATCAACCATGTACCTTTAAGTGTGGGCTGGAAGATGGCTGATTAACTTAGTGTCTGAAAAATACCCAGACAGACAAAAGTGCATTTTGATGAGGTTGCAGGTATGTTATATAATCACCATTCAAAAGAAACCATTAGAGTACTGTTAATTGAAAATTTTAAGTTGCAAAGTCTTACTTGATTTAGTAGTTACATTACTGACAGGGTCCTTGTGAGGTTATATAAAAGCTGAATTTCCTAGCTTTTGTACTTGTTCATGTCACAGAACTACGTGTGAGCACATTGCGAATGACAAAAGACATCAACAGCGATCTCAGAGAATGGCTAGAACATTTCCAAATAAGTCAGTGTCATTCATTAACAAGATTATTGACAAATACAAAACATTAAATTAGGTGGCCAGTCCATTCGGAGTGCTTCACACTAATGGGCAAACAGGTAAAAGTTAAAGGATGATATGAGGAGTTGCAGGAGAAAGCCTCTTCTTTCTAATAAACACACTGCACCACAACTTAAGTTTGCAAATTTACTTCTGAACAACCTCTGGAACAACTTGTTTTGGACAGATGAGACTATAGTTGAGATGTTTGGTCATAAAAAATGGCAGCAGCTTTGGTAATTGCACACACACAGACATCCAACACCAACACCTCAGAACATTTCTTAAACACATTATTGGAGGACTGTTGGTCTCCTTGTAGATATTCAATCAGCAATGAGCTCCTCACTGTAGGTCTAAATCAGATTTAAATTCACCTGTCCCAAACGCTGGGGCATGGCATGGGGCATAATCACCAGGAAAATAGCAAATCTTCAGCAGAATAGCAGAAAAACATTTAAACCAAGGTTTGGCATTGGCTCAGTGAAAATCCAGATCTGAAATAAATGGAAAAAATAAGGTTATCGTTGCAGGTTTAATGAGCCACTTTATGTTCTTGCTAATAAGGTTGGCCCTAAAACCTAGTAATCATGAGATGTGTTACATTTGTCCTCACACAATGATATAGCTCATATTAGTTCAATAAATAACGTTTAAGATCAGTTAGATCCGCCTGTTCACATCTCTTTTTTCCTGCAGCCCGTATATTACACTGAAGAGCCCGGCAGGAGAAACTACGACACCTACAGAATGTACCTGCAGCACCCCCACGGCTACGACGACACATATTTAGAGGAGGTCATCACCTATCCCCCCACAGTGGACTACAGCTCCCAGCCTGTGGGACTGAAATCAACCACCAACTATGTGGACTATTACGCCAGCACGCAGAGGCCTTCCTACAGGGCAGAGCAGTACCCGGGCTCTCCTGACTCCTGGGTGTAGGTCGGAGACGCCTCCTCTTCCCTCCCCCGATTCTCATTTCAGGACATAAGGAGGAGCAGCTTCACCCTGCGGCGAAGGCCAGGAGCCGGCGGGAGACGTCATTTTTCATGAACTGGGCTTTATAAGTGTGTCTGTTTGAAAGCAGGTGTGCGTGTGTGAGGAGAAGTTTGGCTGAGTGGTAGCAGATGGAAAGACGGGACGTGTGCCAAAGAGGGAAATAACGGAATGTTTTTACGATTATTTTTCATTTAGCCGAAAAAAAGGTGGAATCATGCTGGGAGTGCGTTGGGGGACGATACTGACACTACAGCGACAAGATGTGCGTTCGGTTGTGTGTAGATGGTAGTTTGAAATCTTAGCTGTGATAGTATGAAGAAAGGTGTGAGTCACGTAATTGAAGGTCTGCGGTAAGAGTCAAGATGAGGAGGGGGGGTGTATGTTTTAAAGCCAAAATGGATCATGAACTCATCTGTAAAAAACAAAACAAAAAAGTGAACTAATGATGTTAGATTGTACAGAGGGATCAAATTGTATCTGTACTTAATGTTGAAACTGTGTAATGCCATGGAGTCTTGTACATTTCTTTGATTTTATTGTAAATACAGAAGAAAAAAACATCTTACCTGGTTTACACATCAGCACTGGTTAAAAAAAGAGAACTTGTGCCATGTTAGAGCTCTAAAGATATATAATTATACAAATCTGTGGACAAAGACAACATCATAGCAACCATGTTAACATAATAAAAAGGTCAGTTTTGTTTTTTAAGCCGGCTGTGTTGTTGGATGCTTTCACAGGATCAGTGAAAATCCAAAATAGAGGTTTGAGTGTGACATTGTCCTTTAATTGGGCTGAAAATGACTGATGCTACAGATTATGGGAGGGGCATAAACTACATTTACATCAGAAAGTATCACATCAAGCAATGCGGATCGGGAAAATCACTTCCTACTGAGGAGAAGTAGGTGTAAACTTTTAGTGAAGGCTAAAAATAGTCTTCATGACCCCCATAAATAGAGCTGTGTTCACCTGAATGATTTAAAAGGCCACATGAACATATGGTTTGGATATCCAAAAATGGCTTGAGTCTATTTATAATTTACTCATTTCTTGGATTTCATTATTTTCCAACATTTAAATCTGGAAACATCCGAGGGCAGTTATGGCAGTTATGAATGAATGAGTAATGAATATTTAACGTTGAAAAGTTTTGACTAAAAAGTGCAACCAAAATACAAAAATAAAATAGAAACAGAATGGACTTTCAAAATGAAATGCATTAACTTTAATGAATAGGAGTATGAACCATCACAGAAACTTTTGACTGACAATCAGAAGCAGCCTGAAGGCTAGTGTGTACTGCACTGGATCACTGGACTAAAATGGGGCATTAAACATGCGCTCCATTTTGTTTTGGGCCTTGCATTTCCTGAAATGGGTCCTCATCGAGACATTGACATTTGCATGATAAACATACATTAACATCAACACATCTGGAAAAGGATCCAGTCTTCTCTCTTTTTTCACCTCGGAAACCGTTGTTTTAATGTACTGGCTACTTATTTTGACCAAAGCATATCACAGACATATCACCAAGACCTCAACAAATTTGGACAGCAAGGGAAATCATCAGATCTCTGATGCCTAAGCCTGTTTTTCTGTTCAGCAATACCTGAGCCTGCAATCTAGTGTAAAAGTGGCTTTTTAAAAAGCAACAAGCTCCAAAGTGCACTGAAGCGTCCAGGCAGGCACCTCCAGAGGTGTTTTCATTTATGTTTGATTGGCAACTTGCAATTCTCCAGACATCTGGAGAAACCTGATTAGGGACATTCATTTTGGGAGATGCTGGTATGCACATTTTTTGTAATAAAAAATATTTCTTTCTTCAGAACCATATGGTCACAATAGTTTCATATCTATAGATGTGTGGGAGGAACAGTGCTTAAACCTTGAACAGAACACCAAAAAAAGAGCAAAGTCCATAGACATCCAAACCCATACAATAACAACAGCAGGGAGAAGAGCCGTGCTTCAGACATAAAACCCTTCCACTGGAGACTTTCTACAGCTGTTTTCAGTTTCGCATTCTTCGTCCGTGTGTTTTTTTGTGCACCAGAGCAGGTTGCGGGCGTGTCTGCGGCTGCACGCTTCCTGCAGCCCTCACTGGGCGTCACTTGAGCCTGAGCATAAAAACAACAGAGGGGGCGTTCATCTCCGTCTTCGGTTCGGTCTGTCTCCTCGGAAAGTCCACAAAATGGTGCAGCAGCTCTCCAAATGCGGAGTGAAGGAAAGTCCATTGCTGAAAGCTGGTCACCCTCCAGCAGGTAAACAGTTTTTTTTACACGCTTATCTCAAGTTTGAGTCCACTTTAAAAGTTTTTTTTTGTTTTAAAGAAGAAAAAAATCTGTTAAACTGAAGACCTGTTTTTCGACCCAGATCCGCCCACCGTCGAACCTTTGACTGCAAACAGTCCCCAAAAACAGATTTTTGGTTAAAAGTGTGCTAAAGTTGTGTGAGTTCTGCAAGTTTTCTGATAGCTGTAATTAAAGTGAGAGGAACTACCTTAAATTGAATCATGCCCTTTTTTTGTTTGTTTCTTTAAAGTTTGTGGGTTGAAAGTAACACCATGTCCTCTTAGTCTCTTGTAGGCGTTCACTTGCAGGGGGAGGAAACTGTTTACCCAGACTAGTGTGAATTGGTGTGTGTGTATGCGTGTGCACTTCTAAAGCAGAAGCCTGAGATTTGCTCCTGCAGCTTATTTAAGACCAGTCTGGTCTTGCAAAATCTAACAGCAACTTGTTGTGCTTCTTTCCCTGTGCAGTGAAGGCTGGAGGCAAACGGGTGGCCAAGAAAAGCCTGGAGGAGGGGGTCACCCATGGGACTCCAGAAAAGGAGACAAAGAGGTCGGATAAACTCAGGTGTGCCTGCATTCGGCCTCCGCAACCCAACTGCTGGGCTTGACGTGCATGAGAATAATTCAGATTTCTCTCCTCTGCAGCAGGTCACTGGCCACCTCTAACAGAATGCAACAAGTGGGATTGCTTCTGGCAGGAACTCTTGACAAGGTAAACTTAACAGTTGACTTTTGTTCTTTTTAATTAAAAAAAAAAAAAGTCCATAAATTGGGTGGCATTGCATCCTGTTTATGTAGGTTTATGGGTAATAAAACTCCTTTTTGACACTTTGCAGCTGAGCCACGACTTTCCAGAGACACCGGTGAGCGTGAGGCACAGCAGGATGCGCCCTGCGGTGGAGAAATCCCACTGCCCCCGGGCCTTCTTCATCCAGCAGCCCAGGAAGTGGTGAACCTGTCTAAGAACACCCCGGAGGCAGCTGTGTTTAGTCGGCTGTGAAATGCCAACATGAAGTCTTAGACTCACGAGGGAACTGACATGTTGTTTGTGAGGTGTGGCTGGTGGGGAGGCTTTCATCAAGCTCTGTTTACTTAGAAGAAAAATGTAGCTTATTTCTAAGCTCTGCTTGCTTGTTGAGTGTCCTGAAAAATGGCATTTAATGTGTCTTTACTATTGTCAGAAATTTTGCATTTTCAAGCTTATGGGGGAAAATGGATGGCATCTGAGGTAGGCTAAAGTAAGTTTAAAGTGATGGGTCGAGGGGACGACGTGATGCTTAAAGGGCTTTGTAGGAAAACTGCTCAATGTATTACTTGGCATTTACACAAGATTTATTAATAATAAAAAAATAGTTGCACGGCATTACCGTTTCTGACATTGCTTCCTGTTTTCTTGTGTTCTTGCATTTAACCAAAATGGCCACTAGATGGTAGCAAAACGCTTCCAAACAGTGGCAGCTGACTACACTGTGGAAAATGTATTTAAAGCAGCACCCCAACCTTTTTGTTTTTTAAACAAAGCTGCTTTACTGATATACTAAGAAGAAAAGACTAAGACAGAAAATGTCCTTTTGGAAGGAAAAGGATATTTGGAAAGATTGCATGACTTGCAATTTAGGCCCATTTTAGACCGTGCACGTGGATATCTATTCACATTAATGACAACCTGACCAATTTAAAATGTCATTTAGTACAAGTATGACCCTAAATAATCCCAGGTTAACAAATCTTCTTTTAAACATAGAAATATAAATGGGGAAATTATTTTCTCAGACTGTATAAATAATATTCCTAATTTATTTATACATTTACTAATCTTTTAAAAATTTGCCACAGTAATTTTTTTTCCCCTTTTGCTTTATCTATGGAACTTTTGGATGCATTAAGAAGAAGCAGGTTTTTTTTTTTTTTTTATTATTTTAGAGAAGTATTTCCTGGTCCCCGGTAACCAAAGTCCCACAAGTGCCCCAGCACACCTGATTCAGATGAATGTCGTTATCCTGCTGCTGATCCATTCATCTGAATCAGGTGAGACGCACTGATCAGGAGACGGCTCGGAGCAGCAGGGGGCAGAACAGGACTGTGGCATGACTGCAACTGGCTCTGAGAAAAGATTATTCAAAAGATATACATTTTTATTTATATCCCTATAAAGATCCACTATCATTTAATTGTATTCTTTTGTTCATTGTTAAAAAAAATATTTTTTTGGGGGGGGCATTCCTGTCACTTGACAAAAATGGATGTCATTTGAAATGGGTTCTTTGTCTAGCAGTCTGTTACATATTAACGTAACTCGGGTTCATCCCTTGAGCTATGTTGTCCTTTATGTTCAAATGACAGCAATGACTGACCTAAAAATGAAAGAGAAAGCTAAAATTCCCAAAGAAAAACTTTGAAACACACATTTCTGTGTGTATGACAACTCATTCACCCAGTGTCCTTCAACTTTATCCAGGCCTTTTTAAAAATCCAATCAAAATCCAAACGTGTGTTTGTCATCTTTGTGTCCTCCATGTTTGTATCGGACAGTTCACAAACACTATCGGCTCATTCGGTTTGCCAGGAAAGCATACAGTCTTGTAAACATGGCGTGGCGACCTCAGATCCTGGCGCCCGTGCTGTTCGCACACGCCTCTTACGCCATCTGTGAGGATTTCGGACACCCTTCGCTCTGGGGGCGCTGGAGCAGTCGGTGGTCCTTGGACCTGCAGCCATGGTGCGTTTCTCTGCCAGAGGGAGTCCGTCCCCGGCCTTCTGTGGTGCTGCGCTGACGCCAGTCAGTCCCCACTCATATGAAATGAACTCAGCACCACAATCAATCAGTTTGCTAGCCCAAAGCTGTTTTTTCCCTAATTATATGTAAGAAAATACAAATGATGCTGAAAAAATGCCAGCATGATTTGCTCTACGTGGACGGGTCTTTAAACCCACGAGCTGAGCAGTGAGTGTAGCTACAGTGTAGTGCCAGGCCACAGAAGTTAGCTTGTTCCCAACTCCTGCTTGAAATACAAAGGAACAATCAGAGTTGACAACTGGACCTCTGGAATCTATTTAGGTGACTAGTTTTAAGAATTTTTGGAGTAAATTCATTTCTGCAGATCAGTTTTTTTGAACCAATTAAAAAACTGAATCAACAAGAGATTGGTTCATTTTCCTCTACAAGTGCATTCCTGAGACGGTGGAAGTTGCAATAATAGCTTTTATACTTATTTTGTGGGAAACAAAGAAGCCAGTGCTTCCTGTCTGACAAAACATGATCTCAGGTCAAGGTCCAACAAGTAGCTTTTTCCAAGCCTCTAAGAGCATAACAAAGTCCATTTTCACTTTTCCATGCATTTCACTCAGGCCTTACACGTCGGGACACCCAAATAAAGAATTCTAAAGGTGGGTTTGTTTTATTTAGTCTAAATCGCTGTTGGCTGCCTTTTATGACTAAACTTCCAGAGAAGGAGGGCAATGGTGTGACAGTAACACATAGGGGGATTTTCTTTTTCCCTCCTCAGCTTGCATCACCTACATGTAGTCAGGTCATGCTCTGAAAAATAAAGGGGTAGAGGACTGGTCGTCTGGTCTGTGAGATCTGAGGTTCCTCCCCGCAGATGACCTCATGTGGGGAGAAGAGGAGGAGGAGGGGGAGAAGGAGGAGTCCAGCGTCGCGTATCCCACCTTGGTGAATCAAGCTGGGGCTGAGTTTGTGTGGAGATACGCTCAGAGGTCTGGGAGAACTTTTTGTTGTTAGCAACTTTAACATCCATGACAATTACAAGGTAAGACTTTAAAGTACGAATAAGTTTGCTGGATGGTCCTACTGTGCGCGGGGAGGGCGGTGTAGGAGGAAGGAAAAGACCGGAGGAGAAGTGTTACACTTGTTAATGGAAGTTTGTGGGGAGGAATGTCGGGACATGCCCCTGGAGCCGCTTTACGGGGGCAACGGGTCCCACACATGACGAGTTATTTGGTTTATTTTAAAGTTTGTCCACACCGTTAACACTCTGTCCGCTGGTTTTTCAATGTTTCAGAATCAAACCTATCTAAAATGCCACGCTAATAAAAAAAAAATTCAAAACGAAATTCAAAAATGCCCGAAGGAGTCCAGACCCGGCTGTGCGTCAGGTAACGTTTCCGCTGGGTTCGGTTTGAACGCTGGCTCGAGCGGACTCAACGCTTAAATGGAAGTATCCCCTCCCAAACTTAAAGACTTGAGTGTTGTTTTTAAACTGTACTCGGACTGAGGCGCAACATTTCCCATGTTTTGTGCTTTTCCGTGTTTATTTTGTCCTCACGGTGGTCCGGCTAATGGAAGCCGAAGCTGCTCATTCGATTAATGGATTGTTGCTTTGTGAAAACAAACAAACAATTACTGCAAAAAACAATAAAGTTATTATCCGAAAGGATCTCAAATGATTTCCTTTTTCGCAATGAGTACTCCGTGAAGCCAGAAATGGACGTGGTCCGTTTTAATACTGAAAATAAATTGTCACATTTCCAATACGACACGTTTTTGGTCGATTAACCGTTAAGGCCCGGCTAAAGAAGTAAGAGGAGTTTCAATATTTCCATATTAAGTGTTTTTTTACTGATATTTTGAATTAATACAATGGTTTTAAGAGGAAATACCCTTACAGAGTTGTAAATGGCTAAAAAAGAAGAGAAAGAGGCAACTTATTGGCCCTGTTCTAGCCTCCCAAATGAAATATCTTTCCCACATCCCCAGATTTAGCCCAAACTCACCGGCCCATTCCATGCCACCTCACACGCTCTGTAGTTGGTCTTAATGTGGTTTTGCCAACTTCTAATCAAAACTGGCTGAAACCCATGCACCCAAAACGAAGCTAAATCTGGTAATCGCTGGGATGGATTTGGACCATGCCCAGCACACAGTGTGCCAGCACTGGATCCCATTCAGTCCAACTAGGATGGTCGGGGTCAGAGCTGGGAAGCTGAACCATCGTCTACAGAGTAAAAACTTGACTGATTGATTTAAAAGACGTTAGCTATATCAGTTCATTGATAATAATCAGTTGTAGGATGCAGGGATCTCATTCACTGTGTGTCTCTACCTTCCTCTACCAGATAATAAATGTTGTTATGCAATGTCCGGCTCATTACTCTGCAGCTGTTTTACGGAACAATAATTACAACTCTTTTAACCCTGTGGTCTTGTTTGATTCTAATGTTAGTCTGTATGTTCTGATTGGATGTGGTGACTTTGAAAGCAGAACCCAGCCCAGATACAGCAGCAGGCTCAGGGCTAAAGGACTGTAATCTTGTCCACCCACATAAATTGAGCCATTGAAGTTTGACCACTGGTTGAATATGGCTGGAGCTGTCTTCAGAATATCTCCAAAGGGCAACACGGGCAGTGTAACGCAGTCAGGTGCTTTGAAAATCATAGCGCTGTTTTCACCTTTTAGAAAAAATCATTGGGAAATGTTGGGATGGAGCTGTCATCAATCTTTGCGTGAGAAGCTGTCGATTCACAGCCAAACCTGATTTGGCCTGTTGAAATCTTCATAACCTCACAGCCTGAAATGGCCTGTTACAACCATTTCCTTCCTCCTGTGTTAAACTACCTTACGTGTCTCAGTCTGCCATGATGGTCAGAGCAGGATGATGACTGGTCATCATCATAAAATAAACAGGAGGAGCAGGATCTTACTGATAGTCATGTTGAACATTCACTTTTACGCTGATTGTGATGCTGGATCATTTGAATGGTTTTGAGTTTTCTCATACCAATCCTGGAGCTATTATAAGATGTTTGCATTACTGAACAGTTGTCTTATTGGAAAGAGCCACAAGAGTCTGCCCCCTGGTCTCCGCAGAGCCTGGTTCCCATGGTCCACAGCCAGTTGGCCAATAAAAGACGCTGGCATCAGAGCTGCATTGTAAAGGCCGAGGAGAGAAGGCTAGTCGAGCCAGTACACTGACAGTCCATGCTTAGTCGCAGCTGAACATAAAGATCATGATTTTGTCCTATCAAAGCATTTGATCCCAACAGGAAATCCAGATTACCAGGGGTTTGAACCCCATGGTGGGGAATGGGAACCAGATTTACTCATGTCTGGCCATGCAGCGTTGTGGTCTTTAGTTATTGCATCAGTGCAAATTTCGCTAAGAGCGTTACCCTTTAGAGCGTTGTGTTGCATCACGTGTAATCTGCTACTTATGCTTCAAAGGAATTCTTGCACCTTTTCTTTCTGCTCTGGCCAGTGAAGGTGTGTGAAAACTGAGACTGAAAGTCGTGGACTGCTTCCAGTTTAGATGGCAGTTTCAGAGAGGTAGTAGTCCAACCAAAAGGGTGTATTTTTACTGTGAGTCAAGCATGTATTACAGGGGTTAATCGGGAAACATTTAAAGACGAATCATCCT